TCATTAAAACACACAAACACGTACACTTCCAACTCTTTTTTGGGTGCATGCGGCCTCCCAAACGAGTCGCATCAATTAGCTAGTCTCATAATTAAGCTTTATATTGACCCTCCTTTGTTTGTTTGTTTTATCTTTCTTTTAGTTGACATTAGGAGGTCAACACTTACGATCTGATATATTCTACATCCATCAAAGTCATTAATTAGCCAATCTTAATTATATTCTTCTCATTATTTAATTACTCCGTAATATTATATTTGTTAATGATACATACTCAATTATTTAATGACCCTTAAAACTCAAACTGATGTGGCACTAAGCACGTGTATTCTCATCACCATTCATCAACATATGCTATATGTATACACATGCATTTTCATTGATGAGAAACTGATTAAATAAATTACCAATTTAATATAAATAATAAAAAAATAAAAGAGGATATATTCATGGGAGTTGAAATCTAAACATAAATCCATTATATTGAATTGAAGATGGTGGCATGCATTGAGCGATTGGACTGGAAAAAAGAAAAGCAAATTGGGTTGTCGGCCAAAAGCTAAGAGATTTATGCATAATCTTTGAGGGTTGGGTGGACAAAGCCATAAGAGAAGGGACCCTTTGCGCCTTAAGCACCAAATGAAAGTATAATGTGAATACATAGCCCAATAATGCTCCTCAATATTACTCCCTCCGTCCCGCTATATTCGTCCACTTTTGACTTTTAGAACTGTTCATCTAAGCACTTTGACTCATCAAATTCTCTCAATGTGTAAGCCTAAATATAGTCATGTGTGATCTTGTTTCATTTGTCTTAACATATAGATTATTAATATATAATTTCTATAATTTTTTAATATATAAATTACAAGATAAAATGGATTAAAAAAATGTATTGGATGGTGTGCAAAAATGAAAGTGGACAAATATTCTGGGACGGAGGGAGTATATGTGTTGGGAGGAGTCTTGTCACACACACATATATTGTCATGTCATGGATGTTTTTTGCCTCTACCTACTTGTTTCTATTTTTCCCATTTTTTGTTTATTATAGCATGCTACCTAGTCTCTCTATTTATTATGGAGTATATACGTTTATATATATATATATATATATATATATATATATATATATGGGATCGACTCCAGTCAGATGACACCTTACGGTGAGATGACATGCTACGGTCAGATGACGCAAAGCTCACCGTAAGCGTTGTCTTACCGTTTAGTGAGCTTTGTAGTTGTCTTTGATGAGCTTTGCAGTGATCAGCTTTGCGTCATCTGATTGGAGCCGATCCCATATATGTATATGTATATGTATATATGTATGTGTGTGTGCGCGCGCGCGCCGGCCGGAGTACATAGCCTTCATACACCACAGCTTCTTCTTCTGCTAGCTGCAAATTAAATGTGGATCGGAGTAACCGGTTTATGTGTGTGTATGTATGCATAGATGATATGATGATGATGGATGATGATGATAGATCCCCCACGGTACGTACGTACTGCAAGCTGCTATATGCTAATAAAGCTCTTTGGCGACGTGACGTAATTAAGGCACATAAAAAAGCTTTGCTTTGCTATCAAAGGCACATGAAATGCCCTTTCTCACACTATCTCCAACCACACCAAACTCGTACTCATTTTGAAAAATTGTTCCACTTTCATTTTTTGTACGTCTCACAGAATACTTTTATCCTCACCTAAAGGCTTTGTTCGGATGAAAGGAAAAAATGGACGGAAAAAAGGAGAAAAAAATATAGAGGAAAGAAGATGGAGAAGATAGAAAGAAAATGATTGCGGTAGAAGCTATGTGCATTTTCATTTCTCCCTATTTTCTATTACAATCAAACAAGAGAAAAATGTCTCAAATACGCCTTATTTCTTTTTTATTGCGGTAGAAGTTACTAGTATTTTGGGAATATTCTATAAAAATATTTTGTTGAATGCATGCCCACAAAAAAAATGAGAATGTAATCCGTACGTATACCCGATGATACGTAGAAATATATACACCCGACAAATATATTTCTTCTTAATCAAACCAATCTTCATTTTGAATCGAGAGAATGTTCGATCATTTTCAATCATATTTTTATTCTTCATTCTAAAGCATCATCAACGTAATGTTTATTCTGAAACAACATAAGATTCATTTTGAAATAACGTAGTGTTCATTTCAAAATAAATTAATGTTCATTTTATGTATTTTTTTAATCATACCATATAATTTATCACAAAAAGCAGAATTGAAGTGAAAATCTTTTTTTTCAAAGAAAGGGAGTATATGGGACGGTGAGAGCTGAGGGAAGATTAGGAAAAAGAAACATTGGGAGGATCTCATCATCTTCCACAAATCGTGTGTGTTTTCACTGTTGAGACGCGCGGAATCGAGTACTGTCCCCCCCGTGTTGTCCGCTACCTTGTCTTCCTTCCATTATTATTTTTAATGTTATCATCATCATATTTCATTAGTTCATAATTAACACTAATTACCTTAAACTGTGTGTACGGAGTTTTAATTCTAACCCTAACCCTAACCCTAAATTAATTGATTAAATTACCATAATGATCTTTTTGTTTTTTGTCTTATTTTTGAACTAAAAAACAAATATACGGAGTATATACTCCGATCCGTATATAGCGGGGCCATGCAAAGTCCCTATTTTCTATTTATTCTCTGTTCATATCACTTTAAATTTTGTTCTGTTCCCGACTGAATTTCAATTCATTCCTTCGGCTGGCAGCATTAAAAGAAAAATTAAAAAAAAATTATTTTTAAATGATGAGTAACTTCTACGCAGTAATTATTTCAGTTTTTTTACTAGTTTGACTTTATTTAATCAACTTATTTTTATAATGTAAAGTGATTTACAGAGTACACTACGCAATGACCAAGGAAAAAAAATTATACTCTGGGTACTTTTTTTTTAAAATGATGATAAAAAGGAGAGGGCAGTTCTAAACATTGGACATTAATTAATTAGTTCCTTCAAAAAAAAAAAATAGACATTAATTAGGTCGTTGGCCAAACAAGGCCTAAATGAAAAGCTAGCTACACCTTACCTTTATGTCGAGAGGTTGATGGAAAACTGCATGCAAACAAAGCAGAAAGGGTTTTGAAATTTGAATGAAACAAAGTGGACAAAAATGCAAAAGGCAAAAAAAAAAAAGAAAATTAACAGTATGAACTTGCAGTAATGTGACAGTGGTAATATAATAACAGTACGTAGAGAACCTCCAGAGTCCAGAGAGACAGATAAATTAAAATAATAAAGAGAATAGACATTCGGACTGTCCCACGAAATAACCAGCTTTTTTCTACCTTTTCCTATTTTTTCTATGCCCTGAATAATTACTCTTACTGCACATTATTAGAAGTACTTTATTTCAAAAAAAAAAAAAAAGAGGATGAAAATGGTCTTTAAGGAGGATTCTTAAGTCCGAAATCTCATGATCGATTCTCGATAATAATGACACTGTCGAGAGTTTTATCTATTGGAATCGTTGTTTGTGCACGTCCGACTATGCACGGGAGGAATGACTTCTCCAAAAATAAGATTAAGATTATATCATGATTTATTTCTCACTACTCTGTCACGTCCGGTGTAAAGGCACCTAGGGTAGACATTCTAGTATTCTATAATTTTGAAAACTTACTTATAATTTGGAGAGAGAAAGGGATTAAAATTAAATAACGGTTATTAGGCACGCTCATAATTTTTTTTAGAAAGAAAGAGAGAGAAAAGATAACAGGACAATGATCTATAACGATAGACGACCATCGATAATGAAGACAACGGTGGTGCACGGTCGAAATAAAAGAGCTACTTCATTCATACTCACTCTTTATACTCCGTATTTTTTTTATTGCATCATCTCTTTTCCACATAAACGGAACTTCAGATTCTACTTAATTCATACGGAGTACTTCGTTCATTTTACAAACAGTTTCACCCTAATTTTTTGTGCAACTCTCAATACACTTCTAACATACTTAAAATGTCTAAAATACATTCTCATTTCGTAATTTATTGCGGGTAGAAGTTGTTTTGAAGGTATTTTAGACATTTTAGACAAAACAAATGTATTTTATGGGGTGCGCGAAAAAATAGGATGGAAGTGCCTTGTGAGACGGAGGGAGTACTTTCTTATTACAACTGGAGGTGTATATCCGCCAATTCACCAAGACTACAAACACGCCACTTCCCTAATTAAAATTTTATATATTTCCAATTTTTTTATAAGTCACATAAGTAATTAACACATATATAGGTCCGCCATGTCACGTTAAAATTGTGTCATAGACTCATAGTCCGGGACTTTATTTTTGTTATTTTCCATTATTATTATTATATTACTATTATTATTATAGGTAGTTTTATTATTTCTGGTTAGGTAATTATATTATAATTAGGAAGTATAATTATATTAGATTATAGTATTATGGTTTATTTAGTTACCTTGTATGGTTAGGATTCTCTAGATCTACCATCTATATATGTAGTCATTACTCATAAAATAATTATTCAATCAATAAAGAAATCATTCTCATAAACTCTAATTTTCTTCTCTCTTCTCTATCGTGCTTCTCTTCCGTCGAACAATAAATCGCGATTCTCTCCATTTTCTCGTCACTTTTTCTCTTGGAGCTTGAAGGTGCTCGAAATCCTTCCTTATCCCGATACGATACCGGATCAATTGGTGCTTTCATTCTTGAACTCATTCAAAAAAAATTATACAAAAAAAATCGGCCACAAAATTCAATTCAATTTTTGTGTGGTGGTGTTTCCTTTGGCAATGGATTCTCTGTTGGACAAAGTTCTCGGTTTACTTGAGAAAGTTCTATGGGGACAAATTGAATTTTATGAAGGCGTGGGTGCAGTTGAAAATTCCCTGGATGAAATTCTAAAGAAACTTCAGGCATCCCGTCAAATTGAAGGTCAACCAAAATATGATTCCGATGTATATGCGTTCGCCGTAGAGGTCTCTTGCTCAATCCAGGATTTAGTTCGTGGTCCCCCAATTTTACCAAGTTTGATCCCAATAGAGTTACACTTGTTCAAAACAAATATGATGAGCGTGATAAAGAAACTCATCGGTGCTCCACTTTTTTCACCAAATCTAGCCCCTAAGGCTGTGGACCTGATTGTTCAGATCGTGGAAGACACGGCCGCACACACGGGTCCTCTTGTGGAAAATGTAAGCAATGAACCACATGTCGAAGATGGCATGATAAGTGGGTCCAATGTCCTGGGTACCAATAAGTCACTCACGATGGAGGAAATTGTTGTTCATCCGGTAGGTATTTCCAATGATGCTTTTATTATTGTTACTAATCCTGTTCCTAGAAATAATGTTGATGGAGAAGACCACCGAGACCAAATTATCCAGGCAAAAATTTCAAGTTATGATGCCATTTATTATGAAAGCACAGAAAAATATGGGATGTCACAAAGTGAAGTTGTTGTCCTTTATACTTCTGAGGATGTTGCACGTGATTGCATAATATTTCCACTCTTAGTTGGCCAAAATTGTTTACTTGACATTGGGAACGTTTTAGGCGCGACTCATTCTTTTGGTGCTTCAAGGATCAAAGTGTTTGACCCCGGAGGATGGACGATGAACGTTGTAATTTTTTCCGGTTCTTTATTTGATTTCCAACTTGAGGACAAGTTGGTTTTCGAGGCGGGAAGAGTGATACGGGACTTTATTTTTGTTATTTTCCATTATTATTATTATTATATTACTATTATTATTATAGGTAGTTTTATTATTTCTGGTTAGGTAATTATATTATAATTAGGAAGTATAATTATATTAGATTATTAGTATTATGATTTATTTAGTTACCTTGTATGGTTAGGATTCTCTAGATCTACCATCTATATATGTAGCCATTACTCATAAAATAATTATTCAATCAATAAAGAAATCATTCTCCTAAACTCTAATTTTCTTCTCTCTTCTCTCTCGTGCTTCTCCTCCGTCGAACAAGGATTCACGATTCTCTCCCTTGTCTCGTCACTTTTTCTCTTGGAGCTTGAAGGTGCTCGAAATCCTTCCTTATCCCGATACGATACCGTATCATAGTCTTGATACATGTCATTCTCACATTAAAAAATTGCAACACATTCTTGACACATACAGAGATTGGTGTTTGAAATTTATTTACGAGTATAAAAAATTTGACCAGAACAGTCAAAAAGGGGAAAAAGATTTTAGGAGGAATGTACTCATATTTTAAAAACATTTTTAACTCTAAATTCTAACATTATTGTCAAATACTCCCTCCGTTCCAAAAAGATTTACACATTTCAAAAAAATTGCGTCCCACAATCTCTTACCCATTTCTATTAAAAAACTACTTTTACCCCTTACTTTTTCAAACCCTACCTATCACATCATACCTTTTTCCTAATAATCTACACATCACATCATACTTTTACCCAACACATCAAGGGTATTTTTGGAAAGTCAACACAAAATTATACCTCCTTTAATTTCTACTTTAGTCAAAACGTACCCATCTTTATGGGACGGAGGGAGTATAATAGAACCTTCTGTATATCTCTCTATATTATTTACGACCTGCTGTACGAATTATCTTTTGCTAGTTGACTCAATATATTCCCACAATTCACGATTTATTATCGACTGCTTATTATATACTCTCTCCGTCCCAAAAAGAATGTTATGTTTTATTTTTTGCGCATCCCTTAAAACACTTTTATATCGCCTCAAATGCCAAAAAAACTTTCAAAACAATTTCATCTTATAATAAAGAGTAAATATGGTAAATTTTAGAATTTTTAGATGTGAGTAGCAATGCTTTTTGTGATGCGCAAAAAAATGAAATGTTACATTCTTTTTTGGGACGGATGGAGTATAATTGATTCTCACTATATATAATCTGATCAGCTAAAATCAATTTAGAAAGAAACAAATATTCTACGTTTAGGTTCATGGTGTAATGGATGGCAAAGAATATAATTAACAGCCAATATATATTCGTAAGAGTTGGGTTGAGTGGGTTTAATTTGGGAGTTGTCAGTTGTGTGACACACTAATGACACACTATCACACGTACATGAGGAATATATGTATACACTGTCTTCTTTGTCGAGTACTCGAATCCTAACATTAGCTTTACCTTTTATTACTTCATTCGTCCATAAATAAATTACACATAGCGTACAACATAGTAAGAATATAAATTTTTAAATTTATTTAATGTAAAGATTGATTGTATATTTTCTTATGTTCTACTTCTTGATTAAAATAGGAACGTCTTGCTTTGAATATTTTTATATTTTATTTCTATTTATTATTTTTTCGTTCCAAATTAGATTACAGTTTTGTTTTACAAGAAAAAACTCTTAGTTTTTAAACCATTTTATTTTAAAAATTAGTATAAGAATAAAAAATAAAACCTTCTCCCTCCGTTCTAATTCAATTCAACTTGTATGTTTACTATTTATACGGTTAAACTTTACTCACATTTTTATCTATTTTCGTTACTTATTTAATAATATAATATTGTCATGTTTTCTATTGTTTCGTAAGGTTTATTTTTTATGTAGTTTTTACATATTTAATTTTTGCTCTTTAATAACACCTCAATCTTTAAATAAAGCGGATTGAAAATAACTTCAGTCAAACATCGCAAACCAAATCCGACGATTTTTTTATATATTCTAACATGCCTCTTCATGTGCGAACTTCAAGCATTGTACGTGAAATCTTAAAAAAATTGAAACTGGTGACGATGAGTTTCGAACTGGAGACCATTTGGTCATTAAGGCTCACATACCATATCAATGAATCAATTCAACCAAAAACTCAAATTTATAGTACGTTGTAAGTCTGAAATAATTATTTTATATTCTAACATAAGAGATGACATAAATATTTTATTTTATTAAGTAATCAATTAAAATATACAAAGAAACAATAACAAAAAGAGAGAGCAAATTGGATCAAATTAATGAAGCCATATGGTTCATTTAATTTCGATCTGTGGATCATGTGATGATTTTTTTTTTTTTTTGCTTGTGTGGGGTGGGGATGGATTATTGGAGCTTTCCGTTGAAGACAATAAACCAAAGAGACAAAATTGGATCAAATTAATTAATTTATGATACTAGCATTGCACCAAATTGGAAAAAATTGAAAATAGTGGGGGGATTACATGTTGTGCCTGAAAAAAACGGCCACCACATATTATATACGGAGTATACTCTTTCCCTCTCCAAGTAAAGTAATTATCAAAATCGATTTTTATTTATAAATTAGTACTAGTATAAAATTAAAATCTTATATTGTACATATTAAAAAGATTATATAAAAATTTTAAAAAACAAGATGTGATAATAATATTTTATTTGTAAGAAGATTGATCGATGAAAACCAAGACGTTCCGGGAATATGAAAAAATGAGATTGACCCTATGCAAAAGTCACATGTTTATTTTGGTTTTTGCCAAGTACTTATTCTTTAAAATTAGTGCTAATATTTTTTTAATAACCACTTTTATATAATAATTTGAATATTAAAATTGTTTGACAATTAACTAAAAAAATCTCTCTAGATAGGAGGAAAAAATATAAAAATACTTAAATATGAATCATATGTCTTTTACGACCAAAATATGAGTTGGGTGCGATTTAAGAGCACGTGTGGGCGTTGTGACGAAAAAATGATGACGGTGTAATATCACAGTGTTATTAGCCGACCATCAGCGATCCGCGCCAGCACTCTAATGGCTGGCAGTGACGGATGACAATGTGACAATGATAGTGTGACTGTTGCATTGTGATAATATGGTGAGTGTGGAATGTCAGTGTGAGTTCCTACCTTGGTCTTACAAGATTTAGAACTCCTATTTTAGTATTTTCATAGTTTTTACTCCTATTTAGAGAGTTCTCTCAGTTAACTATAGTCAATATTAATTTGGGTAACTTATCTAAATAGGACTAAAACATAATGACTTTTCTCAATATAGGACCATATATTTTTATTTCCCAAAGTAGGACCATTGGTCATTATTTATTAGTCATTATTCAACTAAATGTCCCGCATCACTTGAACATTATTCTTCTCAATAGTCATTAATAAGTCCTGTTTAGAGAATAAAAAGATTTAAATCCTATATTAGAAAATGACTTATACTCTACCTTGTATTTCATTATTTCTTGAGTAATACAATTATTTCATTATTGAATATGGTATCAGAGCTAAAGGCATCCTTTTTCAAAAGCCTAGCCTCCGTTCTTCCACGAGACCACGACCATGTGCCACCGCTGGTCTTCTTCATCGACGATCAATCGCCACAAATCATGATATCATCGTCTCTTATCCCTCTCTCCTTCTCTTAAAAATAAACTATGTACGTGCCTACCGCAATTGATCTCGGCTAGCATGCCTAACTATTCCATTTTTTGGACGGAGGGAGTATTACTTAAATTTGTTTTTTCAAAACTGGATGTTAATTTTGTTTGAGAATAATTAAAAGTAAAAACAAGAAGTTCGTTTGGGAAAAGAAAGACTAAAATAAATGCACAAATAATAGTGGCAGAAAAGAAAATAATGCTGGCAAAGGGGTAGGAGTTGTTTGTGTAGAAAGAGGAAATAAATGGATTCTTGCTAGCTCAGCTCTCTCTGTACGTACCGTGTGAACATATCAGTAATATCTAACGTCTTAACGTTTTTAGTAGACTATTTCAATCAAATTTGAAAGCTTATTCTTTAGGATTAGAAAAAAAAAGCTTTATGTTGGAAGAAATTGATCGAAAAAAATTGGAAAGAATTTAAAGAAATTGGAAGAAACTGATAAAACGAGAAAAATTGGAAGGAACTGTAAAAGACTGGAGAAAACTTGGAGCTGAAAAAATTAGATAGAATCAGAAAAACAGGAAAAAATTGAAAAGTCTAAAAAAATATAAAAAATTTATTTAATTTTATTTTTTATATTATTCTCATTCTAATTGTTGTTTTTATAATTTATTATTATTATTATTATTATTATTATTATTATTATTATTATTATTATATTCGTAATCACGTTATCTTAATCAATATTTTTAAAATAAAAAATATTATCATTTTTCATACACAGAAATTGACTTTAAAAAAATTAGAATATAAAGTTAGAATAAATATTAAAACGTGAATTTAACAAAAAAATCTGGTTGCGTTTCACCTCAATTTATTTATGCAATATTTATTATAAAAAATATATTTATAATTTCACATTATATGTTCCAAGATTTTATTTTAAATATCACATCCGTCACATAATGTTCTCAAATATTTTTTTCTTTCATGATTGACATTTTATTTGTATTGTAACTCTTATTTTGGGAATACAAATATAGATCTCATATTTGGTACTTTTTTTTTGTTTTACTCCTAGTTTTATATTTTTCTCTAAAATATTTTGACTTCCAAAATTTTTTATAAAAATTTGAAAATTGTTTTTCTCATATCAATTTAGAAGAGTGTGAGTCGTAAAAATAGTGAAATGGAAAAATAAAATCATTCATAAACTAGAGTTATTAACATAATAGTTGTAATAATAATAATAATGAAGATAATACGAATAATAATAATAATTACTATTAAAATTATAATGATTAAGTGATATTTGCACTAAATATGATTAAAACATAAGTCATTTTCCAATGTAGTACTGAAACTTTTTTATTCTCTAAATAGTACTTAATAATGTCTAGGGGGAGTATTATTTTTAGACTAATTATTTGGGGAGTAGAAAGAGTTTGAAAAACTTAAAAAAGTTTTTTAAAAAACTAGAAAAAACTGAAAGAAACTTAAAGAACTGAAAGAAATTGGAAAACACTGAAAGTTAAAAATTTAACTCTAACGAATAGGCTTTAAGAATTTAGTTTAATAAAGTAGATTGGTGTGTATAGTATGCCTGCGGTGGTCGAGTATACGATTCATCATAGCGGTGCCAACAATTCCATACACCATGACCGGGCTTGCGATATAATTGACATTGAACCAAACCACTGCGCAAGCCTTTGCCCATACTATCGTCGGATGAGCTAGGGCCACTGCCTGGCTACTACCGTCCTCCATTATACGGGAGTTGACCGCCTTTACCTTGTTACCTGCCCCCTCTGCCACGTAATTGGAACCTAGCTCCCAGAGCGGAGACGATTTTGATATATCCTCGACCACGGTTGGAGTTCGTGAAAAGAGTAGCATATACATCAGACGCGGGTGCAAGTTCACAATACATATGTAGTTTTTGTTCTAGTTGCACATTCAGTTATTTAGGTACAAGCCATGAAGAGACCAGATTAAATGTCAAAGAACGAATATTTGTACGAACATTCTGTTTTAGTGAAGCATATTCAGCGGGGAGGCGACGTAGAACACAAAGAATGAAATCTTGCTCAGGTATAACTTCATGAGCCAAATTAAGAGAAACAACAATATCAAGGATTGTATCGATATACTTTTGTATAGAACCAGATCCCTTGCGAATAAGTCCATGAAGTTGTTCTTTGAGTTGGAAAATATGAGTCTGGGAGAGATAATTATACCTTTGTTGAAGATGAAACCAGTAGCTGATTATGGGCTTGAAGACTCAGAGAACCAATAGCCAAAGGATAGGCACGAAGTTGTTCGTCGACCAACATGCAGGACTCATAAGCGGGATTCGACTTTATGAGAGGTGTATCATCCTTTGCTGGGATTGGTGCTTTCTCGTCGACAATTAGAGGCGATGGTGTAACTTACGTGCCATCAATATATCAAAGAAGTCGATGAGCAACAACATTTGCATGAACAACCGCTGACCACGAGGGATAATTAGAGTCATCTAACTTGATGAGAGGTAAGAGATTGGAGATTCCAGACAAAGAGTTTGAGACTGGTAGGAAGACGAACAATCCATTGGATCTGAAGAGGGAGCCATGTTTGGCCGTGGGAGGAGGAGGAACCTTAGTGCCAATTATTCCTTCCCGTTTTTTCGGGATTAACGAGAGAAGAGAGAAAAGATCAGGCTCCGATATTATGTTGAATAATGGAATAATTGTATTAGTAAAGGAATAATGGTAAATAGAAATTGACTAATATAAGAATAGAAGTTGACTAATAAGTAAACACTACCATTAATAATATAATTATTACTATTGATATTATTATGGTTTCCTAACAACATTATTCATCTATATCCATGTTGATACTCGCACTTAAAGAATGAGGTTCGTTATTTTTTTGCCTGCATTGGCACCTCAATTGGTCTCAGTGTTAGAATTTGGATTGGGACAAGAGACCAATGATACAATCGAGTTTCACCAGCGGTAGTGTGGGAGCAACCTTTTGAAAAATGAAGGGGACTCCTTGAACACATTCACTGATCTCAATCTTTATTGTCAATTGAGTTACTATGATTTACATTCTCTCATAATCGTATAAGACTGAAAGTGTGGGACGCTCAGGATGAGAGATTTCATCTTATGGTACAAGAGGTTCATTATTTTTCATTTTTTTGGGGAGGATATATAGGTAATATAGCTAGGGTATAGGCTGGGCGTGGGGAATAGGGATAGGTAAAGAAAATGGGAAGATGAAGAAATTAAAAAGAGTGGGGATATGTATTGTATACGTGTGTGTGTGTGTGTGGAGTATGAGAAAGAAGAAAGAAACCTTTGGGACACAACAGTGCACACTTGCAGCAGTATGTACCTCGATTTGATCCCAACCCACACGGTACTCTCCATACCGCCCCTCTCATACCTACAGTACTCTTTCTCTGCGCCATTAATTTCTCCATCAGATTATCTGGGAATGAAAGAAGAAATAATTAAAGAGCTTCATCCCCCAAAGCTTTTAGAATGGATGGGGAGATAAATTGGACTTTGGTTACGAATTGCTGGTAAAAAATAGAGCTTGCACATGATACTTGCAAAGAATATAGTAATATACTCCATCTGTCCCAAAAAGATTGGGACATTTTGACTAAAGTGGTAAAATAAGGAGAGATAATTTTGTGTTGACTTTCCAAAAATACCCTTTGATGTGATGGGTAAAAGTAGGATGTGATAGGTAGAGTATGAAAAAGTAAGGGGTAAAAGTGATTTTTTAATAGAAATGAGACGGACTTTAAAGGACGCAAATTTTTCGAAACGTGACAGACTTTTTGGGACGGAGGGAGTATTACTTAACATTGTAAAATACTCCGTAACACAAAAATTATATCTATTCATTATTAATCAAACCATCAAAGATATAATTGTAAAGTAACGCAAAAGTTATACATTTTTAAAGCTTACATTTTTTCGATCTAAAAAAGAAAAAAATCTGGGACGAAAGGAGTAAAATCCTAGAGTCCTCATCCAATATTGGTTCGGATAATAGTCTCGAAAGTAGAGCATGTTCCTCATAAGGGCAAGAAATACCGGCCCCATATAGATCATGATCATTTTTTTTATCAGTTGTCAGGAATTGAATTCAACTTAATTTGTAAGTAACTGAAGAAATCGATTTGGAGGGAGAGAAATATGGAAAAGATGCAATCAAGAGAATAAGATTTGGTGCAGTAAAAATGGCAGTGGGTATCTCTCTCAGCAAAGGGGGGTTTGGGCAGTAAAAAAAAAAAAGAAAAGTGGCAGTGCAGTGCAGGGTAGTAGTGCAATTACATCAAAGAATCAAAGAAAGGCTATATTATTATAGGCTGCCTAAGCTAAGCTAAGATAAGCCAAGCCCTATACATATATATATATATACACTCATCACTGTACTGTAGACGGACTGCAGAGATAGATAGGCAGGCGGGGCAGAGTAGTGTAGAGATGATCGATATATAATGGATTTAGATGGATGGATGGATGAAGAAGTTAGCTGAAGCTTGCTATAATCAAGAAACACCTTTCATCGGGAAGGTAAAAACTTACTGTGTTTTTTTACCCCCACCCTGTCAACCCCCGCGTGCACCTTCCTCTACATGCAGCATATGGAGCTAGTGTATGTAAGAGTGAAAAAATATGAAATCTTCCTTCCGTCTAAAAATTTCATTTCCTGTTTAATTTGAGAATATTAAAAAGAGAAATTTACCTAAATACATAATGACTTTCTCAATATAGGACCATATGTTTTTATTTCTCAATTGGTCATTATCAATTAGTCATTATTCAAGTAAATGTCCATCATTATTGGCCATTATTCCTCCCACTAGACATTATTAAGTCTTATTTAGGGAATAAAAAAGTTTAAGTCCTATATTGGAAAATGACTTACTCGGTATGTTTTAATCCTATTTAGTGCAAATTTCACTATTAAAAAAAGTTAAAAAGTGTAAGATTTTTTGTTTGTTCCCCTTGATGCATGAATAAAGTGAATGATGTATATAAAAGTATGAGTATAATGATATATTCATTAAAAAAAAATTTGCTAAAATAGGAAACGAGAAATAAATTTTTGGATAGTTCAAAAAAAGAAAATGAGAAAAAAATTATTGAATGGAAAGGGTATTAGAGTTACACAAAAAAGTATACCACAAATGTACACTCGTGCCAAAGGCAAATATAGACAATAACACATATTTCCTCTGTCCTAAAATGTTTTTCGAATTACCATTTACACGTTCAAATTTTAATTAATTTCTCTATCTATTTTTGTTAATTTTTGATAAAATAATGAAATCTTGTCACCTCCTATTTTGTACTCCGTATAACTTTTGATGTTGTTTTTGAATATAGAAATTTTATTTTTTAATTTTACACCTACAATCAGATAAACCTAATTGAAAATAGAGTCGATCAAACATCGTAAACAACAACGGAAAGAACATTTTAGGACGGAGGGAGTACATGTTATGTCTGTTCGAGTGCAAATTTTATGTTTGTGTTTGTCTTGATGTATAATTGGGTACATTTTTTGGTTTACCATAACGTTCCCCCGAATGAGTACATATTTCATACTCCGTAATTTTTAAAAATATCTCATGAACACGAGTATCACTTATTCTAAATATAGAAGTTCCAATTTTTTTTATCTCCAAACTAGGAGTTTTCATTGTGATGTTATAACATTATATATTGACATCTCAATGTACTTTTTGGATTTTTATACACACATTAATAGCATTGTAACTCATATTTTGAAGATGAAATATGAAAGTTATATTTTGGTATTTCTCCTCATTTTATTTTTGGGCTAAATTTTTCTTTAGGGTACACCAAAAAAGGTAACCCAAATTGTACCCCAAAGAAATGCACAAACATTTCAAAATTTCACACAACCACAAAATACTAGTCCAATCAGAAAAATTTGTAGCAACATTTTGTGTCAGTGTTAACCATCACACTAGCATTACACTAGTACAAAATGTTGATGCATGCCTTCGAGGTAGAAAATGAGATATAATTTTTGGGGTAAAAAATAGCTTAATTCTAATTTTTTCCCCAATTGCGTGGTGCATCTATTTTTCTCAAATTTTAATTGATGAAGTTCGATTGAAACTTTTTTAATTCTACCATATTTTTAAACTAATTTTATTTACAAATTAATAAAAATATAAATTATATAGTACATAAAAATTATGCAACACAAGTTCGTGACAGTAATATTTTATTTTATCAAATCTATAATAAAAATAAATATATCCTATGCAAAAAAGAAAAAGATTGGAAGTCCAAAATCGTAGCTAAGCCAATTTTTTTTGGAATATGGGAGTAGAATTTATCTACATATTTGTGTAAAATAGAAAACAAAAATCTATATACGTACTGATTTTAATTTGTCCCTAAATAAATTGAACACTAGCACTACTTCAAAATCACAATAATTTTTATTTATTTTTGTGTTTTTGGTAATTGTTTAATAAAACTAATATTCTTGTTTTTTTATAAAAATTTGGAAAAAATAAAAACTATCTTCTTCATTTACTCCGTATTTTATTTCATCTTTGTATTTTTCATTATTTAATTTGAAGTCCCAAAAAAGTTATATTACGTTTGATAAAATAAATAAGTTAAATCTTTTAATTTGAGAGGAATGGAGTATTTGTTATTTTTTATTTTATTTATTTTACTTTTACTTGAAATTAAAAAAAAGGTAATTTTTTAAAATCTTTTTCTTTGTTTTTCATTACCTTTTTCTATTCTCTTTTCTTTTGCTCCGTAAATAATTTCTTATTTCAATTTTTAAATTTTTATTTTCTTTTGTAACATTTTCTAAGAAAAATCTTCTATTACCAAAAAATAAATAAATGAATTTTTCTAATTTGAGATGAAAAGGTATATATTATTTTATTTATTTCTATTAACAAGGAAAAGTGAAATAAAGAAGAGTAAAACTTCCTAATAGAAGGAAATAAGGGACATTAATGTTATTTTAATTCTAAAATTAAGTTAGGAGGCATGAGTGCATTTTTTACAAATCACAGGAATTCAATAAATAACTCTTTAAAAAAATTGGTGCTTCTTTTATAAAGTATAGGGGTACCCATCTATCCTATTAGTATTAGCCCCTAAAATCCATTTTAAATTAACCGAAGTAATTCATTTTTTTTTATCTTAAATATTTTTTTACCAATCCTATATATCCTATATCATATATATATATATGTAAAAGAGAGTTCAATTGTTGTAGTGTTGACATGTGGCATGCCACATGTGCATCCACATGTGCACTCACTAATAATGTGGATTTATGCATTTCAATTCATTGGTCCATTTTGATTTTTCTAAAAGATCTTTGAATGCATTTGCATAAAACTTTTTNATGATTATATAAATTTAATCACATATGCATATATATTAATTAAATAATTTGTTTCAAAAATTTTATCTTATTACATTATTTATTCTATTGCTACAAATATTTTTTAACAAACTAAATAAAATAAAATTGCTTTCGTTAAAGGGTAACGACTGACAAGCAACATTATGACACATATACATTCTCTAATGATGTATCATTATGTAATTAATCCACTTTTTTATTAAAATATTTTATTAATTTAAACTTTTTTTATTAGTACTAAATTCAATGACCATTAATTTTGTAGAATTTTTTTATTTTTAAATAACATACCAATATATATTCAACCAATTTAAAATATATTTTGTCACTATGAAAAAACTAAAACAACTAAAATTATATTTCTACAATCTCAGAAATTTAGAATATATACGAGCCCGTGCGAAGCACGGGGTTAACACTAGTATACAAGTATAACTAGTAAATTGGAAATTCAAGTGAAGCCGGTCATGCCCGACATGAGGAGCGAATTCACATTATGATGTCACCTATATCCTCACTTTTAATTATTTTTGTGAAGAATTTTTTTTATACGGATTTCTCGATTATTTTAATGCACATTTAACACAATTTATTAGTGGCTCATTCTAGTATTCAAACATGTACGAATAATTAATTTATTATCAGCTAAGTATAAAGCATTCTGTCACTTATACGCAGTATTTCAGATAATGGTTAATAGATAATGATTAAAAGTACTGCTTTGCGAAACAAAAACATATATATAATATTATTTACGAAAAATCATTATATTTTAATTCAATTTAAGCAAATTCCTCTTCTTATTTTAAAACAATTTGTTAAGAATACGTACGTTTACTTATAAACAATTGTATATTTCCTCTATTTGCAAAATAAATTTCTACCACCATTCACGAGGTTAAATTTTGCTTGCATACTTTCGTCTCTTATTTCCATTTCTTATTTGATAAAATTTCTTATTTGATAAAATAGTAGAGATTATTACTTGTCTCGTAAATTCCTTCGCCTTTTCATAATTCTTATGAAATTTAAAGGAAGAATATTTTTATTCTTACAATTCCAAATAATTTTTGCTGTGATGGGTTAGAGTAGGATATACGAAGTAATTAGTATATTATTATTGAATAAATATGATGTGATAAATATGGTATAATTATACTCTGTAAGAATTAATAAAAGTATAAGTGATTTTTTAATAGAAAATAAATTTATTTTAGAACAAATAAAATGAAAGGAAAAATATTTTAGGGACGGAGGTAATAGTTTTAAAGTACACTCTAGTAGTTCAAAAAAGAATGTCACAGTTCATTATTCAAAAATCATAGGAAGTATTTTTTTACTTGTACGTTTTGATTGCTTATTTGATATTCTTGTCACATTTAAATATGTAAGTTTTTTTTATTTATAAAGTAAATCTTAAAATAAAAATAATTAAGTAATTGAAAATTTTGTTTTTGTTTTGCTTAAGTATATACACAAACATACTTCGTATATAAAGTTATATTTTTAATTTGATACTCATTCGTCCTAAAATGTTCTCCTAGCTACTTTTCACAGAGTCAAACTTTAATTATTTTCTTTGTCTATTTTCATTAGGTATTTGATAAAATAATATATTTTTGTCAACACTTTTTTTTGTAGAATTTTGGATGTAGTTTTTAAATATATAAATTTTATTTTTTAATTGTATACCTACAATCATATAAATTGAATTGAAAATAAAATTAGTCAAATCTCGTAACAGAAACGAGAAGAACATTATAGGATGGAGGAAATATTAATTTTAAAAAAACTAAATAAAAAATAAACTTAATGCAATTTTTGAGACAAATGAAGATAAAACTTACCACTGTTGGTTAAGATTTTTGTTATAGTAGTGTAACTTTTGAGAAAAAGATTTTTTTTCACTTTGGTTTTGAAGTGAGGAAAAAGAAAAAGGGAAAAAGGAGAAACAGTGAGTGAAAAACAGGCTTTTCTCTCTCTATTTATATCTTCTTCTTCTTCTTTTGCTCCCATCTGAGTTTTTTTCCTTATTTCATCATCATCATCATCATCAAATAAAATGGAAGCTAAGTGATGACTGCATATATATTTACAAATATTTAATTTGTAGTTTATTTTTTTCCTTCCCTGCGAATTTTGAGCTTGCAGAAACCTGTAAGCTTAAAACTCGGGAGATCCCAACAAGGAGATCAGAAAACCTAATTAAGAACAAAGAAAGAAGAAACAAATTTAAGATTATTATATTAGGTCACATAGAAAACCATAGAGAGAGAGTTTAGAGAGAGAGAGAGAGAAATAATGGAGGGTTCATTATGTCCCATGATGATGATGATGATGCCTTCTACCAACGATCAAGGAGGAAACAACACCCCCAACTCCACGGCGGCCGCCGCCGCCGCAGGTTACTTCTTGGATAACCTCCCCGGCAACCACAGCCACCACGGATGCGATGCTGCCGCCGCCGTGGGGAAGAGCGGCGTCTCCCCGGCGTCGGCGTCTTCATCTTCGTCGGCATCCGTGAAGGCCAAGATCATGGCTCACCCTTACTACCACCGCCTCCTGGCCTCCTACTTCAACTGCCAAAAGGTACACGTCATCTAACCTAAATCCAAGTTCTTGATCGAAAAGGACGGCGTACGGTTGGTTAATTATTTGTTCGTTAATTATTGTGCATGATTATTATGATTGGAGCAGATAGGGGCGCCGCCGGAAGTGGTGGGGAGGCTGGAGGAGGCGTGCGCGGCGATGGGCGGCGGCGGCGGCGGGGGGCGGAGCGGGAGTCTGGGGGAAGATCCGGCGCTGGACCAGTTCATGGAGGCGTACTGTGAAATGCTGAGCAAGTATGAGCAAGAACTGTCAAAGCCCTTCAAAGAAGCCATGCTTTTCCTCTCAAGGATTGAGTCTCAGCTCAAGTCTCTCTCTCTTCCATCCTCCTTTGACTCTCCAGGTCTTCCTTCCTTCCCTATAATTTTATTATTTACCTAGCTTCTCTTGTTTTTTTTCTAAAAAAAATTAATTAATTAATACCCCCCTTAATTTATGTGAAATTTGCACTAAATAGGACTAAAACATAATGACTTTCCTAATTTAGGACTTAAACTTTTTAATTCCCTAAATAGGACTTAATAATGTTTCGTGGAAGGAATAATGCCCAGCAATGATAGACATTACTTGAATAATGACTAAAGAATAATGACCAAAGGTCCTACATTTGGAAATAAAAACATATGGTCCTATTTTGAGAAAGTCATTATGTTTTAGTCCTATTTAGGTAAATTACTCTTAATTTATTATCTTATGATTATTCTAAATTCCTGATTTTTTCAAAATGGTTTAGTAAGGTCTCGTTTGGCATTAGCGTTAGTGTTTTGAAAAAGACTATTCGATAGTAGCCTTTGGCGTTCGCGTTTTCAGAATTATTCTGCACCATCAAAATTTTATCTAAAACACTAAAGCTAATCAAAAATACAATTCCCAAACAAGGCCTAATTCTAAAAAATCATCCTAAATAGGTGTAAAATATTGAAAAAGTATTAAAGTTTCATTTTTTATAATTTATAAATAGAAAGTTGCAGTAAAGTAATCTAGCACTGTACATGTGCACTTTACTATGTTTTTTTTTAGTATTATATGTTGTTACGAATGACAATATAAATTTTTAACTTTTGTTTCGGAAATAAAAACATTGAAACTTCTATATTGGGATATTCTTATTGTTTTACTTCTACTTTAATTTTTTTTCTCATGAATTATTTGTTCATTAATAATCATAATTTAGTACCAAAAGGCTAGAAATGTATCGTGTTTGACACCAAATGTTCGAGTGCAACTCAAACAATAATTGTTTGTGTGTGGGTGTATTTTGGTGTCAAATTGAGTTAATCTTTTGTCTTTGGATGAGTTTGATATCTTGCGTGTTGGGTGTTTTTTACTATTCCTTCAAGAAAACAAGAGGTTTTTCTAAGGTACGTTTGGATTCCTGCAAAAGCTTGAGATGCAGTAAATGCTAATTAGAGTTATTTTCTTATGTTTCGAGTTGGGAGTAATTTTGTTTTTTGTTTTGTCAAAATATTTTTAGTCTGAGCAAAATACATATGGTTCAATTTTATGGATTTTGGAGTCAAATCTGCCATTATTTGGCATCAGCATTCCATTCTTTTGGGAAGTTTTTTAGTATTCCATAAACACCCTATATGACTATTTCTAAGAAGATGAACAATTCTTAGTACAAAATAGAAACCCTTAAATAAGTGTTCAAAGTACTACTTCCTCTATCATAAAATGTTCTTTACAAGATTTGATTAATTTTATTTTCAATTTAATGTACTCACTCCGTCCATAAATAAACTTCTCGTTGCGCGTTGCGATGTTTGATTGAAGCCATTTTCAAATCATTTTATATGAAAAATTGTGTAAAATTTAAAAATAAAAATTACATATTAAAAAACTATATCAAAAGATCTACAAAACTAGAGGTGTAATGATTATATTATTTTATCAAATGGGTGATGAAAATAGCCAACAAAGTGAATAAAATTTGACCCTGTGAATAGTGAACTAGAAGTTTATTTATGGACGGAGAGAATATTTATTTGATTGCAGCTTTAAAATTAACACATACTTGGGGTACTACGTAAAAATTATATATTTTGAAACTATATAAAAAATTCTATAAAAGAAGAGATGAGAATGCTATATTATTTGATCAAATAACTAAGAAAAATACTTCAAGAAAGTAGTTAATTTGGCCCTGTAAATAATAATTGAGAGAAAATGTTTTAGGATAGAGAGAGTATAAAATAAGTTAATGGTAATATTTTTTGTTAGGGGAAAAAGATTTCTATTGGGATTAATAGTTCACTACCATTTTTTTCAATTTTGATTGTTCTGAATCAACCACTTTCAATTTTTTTACGTCGTATTTGATTAAATAAACATTATATGGTATATGAATTACATAAAAATTATTTTGGGAAAATACATCATTATAAATGATCATTTTAAGAACTTATTTTAGCGGATAAAAAATACTAAAATACCCTCCAAGTAACACTATTTATAAAGGACTGTCTTGCTAATAAATTTTAATTATATACGATCACATAGTTAATTAAAACTATTAAGGATTGTGATAGAATTTAGGATGGGGTATGAACAACTGGATTGGGTAATAAGACACTTGGGTTGAACCAAATTAAAAGATTGAATCCAATCGATTAGTTAGTTTAACTCAACAGCTTATATACCGGATTATTTTACCCTTAAACTTTCGATGTGGGATGCACTTTTAATACTCCCCCTCAAGTGGACAACCGGACCATTTTGAATCTAACCAGTTGGCCACTTGCAAATAAACTCCCATTCTCTTGTTTTTTTTTGAGCGCCAACACCTGAAGGACTACGAGCCGTTGGGTATGGACTTCCAGACGAGCAATCGTGTTAAACGGGCCACAGGCCGTTGGGTACATATTTCATGCGGACAACTGGGCTAAAGACTAACGGGCCGCTAGGAATGAACGTCTAGACGGACATCTTAGCTTGACAAACGGGGTGGGCCAAAACCTGCTCTGATACCATGATAGAATTTAGGATGGGATATGGACAACTGGATTGGGTAATAAGACACTTGGGTTGAACCAAATTAAAAGATTGAATCCAATCGATTAGTTAGTTTAACTCAAGAGCTTATATACCGGATTATTTTACCCTTAAACTTCCGATGTGGGATGCACTTTTAATAGATTGATTTGAAAAAATACTTTATTTCGAAGAATCAAATTTGGTAAGAAACAAAAAATGCTAAAATGTTGGAGGCCGGTATTTATCAACTTCGTTTAAACGTCTAATTTGTCTACTGTCTGCCCGAGTAGAACTTAATAAATGGGGCTCGTGCTTCTATATAGAATGCATGAGTGGCAGTAACTTGTTCTCATTTTTAGGATTTTGTTTGAAGCATTAGAATTTGAATTTGGGAAATAACTCTTCTAAAAAAAAATTTCAAGTCAATTTGGGATGGTTATTTCCTCTGTCTTGGAATATTTGTCTCGTTTGAAATATTTTAGGCAAATTAGATGAATCTTAATGAAATATTTGCACTAAATAGCATTAAAACTTAATTCATTTTCCAAATTATGAATTACATTTGATAGATGTAATAATACAATTTTTTGTAGTTTTTTGCAAGATAAATTAATGAAATTACTTTGTTAACTAAAATTAAATTTAATTTTTATTTAAATGATGAATTGGATGACTACTAGGAGGGACAAAGATATTATGGAGTATTAAAAAATGGAACATTTTGTAGAAAATCGAGGTTTTATGCAAAGAAGTGAATATTTATCTGAACTAAACCACAATTTTTTAGGCTAGGCAATCTGCAATGGATGGACTCTCCCACATTCTCTCCTCAATCCTCCATTGCTAGTTTTTTTACTCCCCTTTTTTTCGTCAGCTAACTCAGCGTCACGTCAGATTTCTTTCTTTTTTTCTTTTTTCCTTCAATTTTTAATATTATATTTTAATACTTATTGGAACGCATCCGGAAGAGAGGAGCGTGAGAGAAGAGAACCCAAAAAAAATCGCTACAATAATCTCGATGGGGAAAACGAGAAGGGGATCTTGCCTTTTCTGTTCCCGCATAGGGGGCGTTCCCCTTCCTTCCACGGGGCCCAGTCAGCATTCCTCACCCCTTCCCGCAGCCGCACCTCGTGGCCTTACAATGTGATTGTTCTCTCGTCCCCCGCTTTATTTATTTGAAATATTTGCGCTACATAGCACTAAAATTTAAGTCATTTCTCTAAATAGCATTTAAATTATTTTATTCCTTAAATAACACTTAATAATATCCATAATGACCAGTGGTGGCGAATATTTACTTGAATAATGACTAATGGATAATGACTAAAAGTGTTACATTGAGGAAAAAAATACATGTAGTGCTATTTAGGGAAAGCCATTATGTTTTAGTGCTATTTATTTTACATTATTCATTATTTTTATCTAAAAACTTATATCTAGTATTAAGTTTAAGAAAAATATTAATCTATGCAAATTAAAGTTGTTTCAGGACGAACAAAAAACAAGCGTTTTTTTTCTGGGGGTATATACTATATATGGGTAATAATGTGGTGTAATTATTTGGACCAATACCAATTTGACACAATTTATTGACTTGTGGTTAATTAAGGTTGCAGTCGTAGCTTTACACCATATCTTTACTTGTGATTTTTCTCCGTAATATGTAAGGGTGCATTTAGGACACAGTAACCCTAGTGTTAATATGTGTACAAGTATATGATAGGCATTGAAACTATTCTATTTACAAATATAAGAAAAAAAAATTACATTTTAAAAAACTTTGTCAAAACTTCTACAAAATAAGAGTTGATAAGAATATATTTTATTTTATCATATATTCAAAGAAAACACACAAATATACATAAGTTATCGAGAGGAGAGATAAAAAAAATTGTAATCAAAATTGGACATAGAGAATATTTGTTTATATTTTCACCAATCATTTTTGATGGAGTTTTGAACAATGCAATTTGTACATTTTTATGCTATATCAATTTAAAATAAAGTAATTTTAAAAGAAAATATGGTTTTGTAAATTGTTCAAAATGAAAAGTTTATTACTCGGATGGGTATATCCCAAATGTAAGTAAGTGATTGATTTACTGCATGCAATAATGCATGATTTGAAATGACCATATAATTATATTAATAAAATTAAATATAATTATATTAATTACTCCATGTGTGGTGGCTGCAGTACCCTCTCCCTCCCCTCAATTAAACTACACTGATTGACTCAGTTTAGGGTCTATTTCGTGTTTCAGTACCCCTTAAAAACTTCAATCTCTTTTGTAGGCTTAGGCCCCTGTTCATAGTACCATATTATATGCTCCAAGTTATTCCCTATTAAGCTTTATCTGCCTACTTTTCCTGGCCTGCTCCTCTCTAGAGGCCTTTGGCTTTTCCCAATGAGGAATCCTCTTTTATATTTTTTTTGTTAAGAGTAAATTCCATCATTGGTCCTTTATAATAGGGGGGTTTCCATATTTAGTCCTCTATTACCAAATATTACCCCTGTAGTCCTTTTTTTAAAGGTACCTTTCCACAAATGGTCCTTTTTTTGATCTTCTGCCGTGTTGGTTTTAATTTAAAGGCTAAAAGCATAATTTGGCATCAACATTATGTTTAGTGACGTGTTCTGATATTGGTTAAGCGGATAACACAAAAATAATGACTATGATTGTGGGCTAGGATTTTGACGAAAGATCACATTTGTAGACTATGATTGTAGTAGAAAATGACTATAATTCACAAACGACGCAAACGGAACAACCTTTGAAATAGTGTATGACAAAAAAGATATATTATCATTGTGAAATTACACTTTTAGCCCTCGAATTAACACCAATATGATAGAAGATCCAAAAAAGGACTATTTGTGGAAAGATACCTATAAAAGAAGGACTACTTGGGTAATATTTGATAATAGAGGATTAAATAGGGAAACCCCCTATTATAAAGGACCAATTATAGAATTTACTCTTTTGTTAATATTTGTTCACAAAATTAAAGAATGTTTTGTTCCTCTTATTTGGTTGTTTTGAAATAAGTTATTGTGTAAATTACATAAATGATCTTTTTTTATAGGTGGTTTTTCATATTTACTTTCCAATTCTAAAATATTCCTCATTACATTTGGTGTTCTCAATTTTTTAAAATTATCCTATAAATAATCTTATAGGTCAAATATGACCAAATATTTTTTCTAAATATGACTTTCTTAATATAAAATCATATGTTTTTATTTTCTAATGTAGGACCATTGGTGATTATCTATTAGTCATTATTCAACTAAATGTAAAGCATCACTTGGATATTATTCTTCTCACTAGTCATTATTATGTCATATTTAAGGAATAAAAAAGCTTAAGTCTTTTATTGGGAAATGACTTATGTTTTAGTCTTATTCAGTGCAAATTTCACATGTATTATCTTATAATTTGAGACTAAGGATCTGTTCTTTTTAACTTAACTGATAATTCAATTAAATTCTCATCTGATTCAATCTGATTCAAATAAGAATAAATAAGAGGTAAAAAATTAAATTGAAGAGAACAAGTACTAAATAAGGTAAACAACCTGTTATTCGAGAACATTTAGGGAATTTACTCTTAATATTTCATTCTATTTTTACATTATTATTTCTCCGTCTCATACATAGATCTTCACCGTTCAAATTTTCTTTTTCATAAACTCCGTAAAAGTCAACTTAGGACTAGACTTATTTTTAGACAAAAGGAGTAATTAACAAGTTATACGTTGACGGGTGAGAAGAAATAAGACACCCTTTTATATAAGATGCAATGCGGTTCTTTTGACATCAAAATAAAGAGACTAAAATTTTTGTTCGAACACCCACCGTTATAGGCACGTATAGACAACGGGTAAACACCCACTGTTCTTGTGTGTTGTCTTTTTGTGTCTGTGTGAATTAAGGTGGAGACAAACTTCTAGGTGAGAGAATACCATGTATATAGATGTTGTGTAGTCATGTATGAAACTTTGTGGTTAATTTTTTTTGTTTGTGTGGATGACAAAAACAAAACACATGCATGCCTGCCTAGATAGCCAGCTGCATTTGATTCATCTCACTGTACATTATCTCAAATCAATTTCCCTTTTGTTGGAACCCTTTTCTCATCTTTCCAAGTGGAACAGACTAGGTGTGTTTGGTTTGGTTTTTTGTTGGCTAATTATTAGTGTTCATTGTGCTCTCTTATTTTCTGGGCTGCTACTTATTTTCTCTAACATGCACATATTCATTATATTTTTGTCCTTTGCCCAAATTGGTCACCTCACATCTTTTCAGGACTTTTGGAGTACCCTATAATGTGTGCAATAAATATCATTTCCCTCCATATATCCCAACTTTCTACATTGTTTATTTTTTGTGAACATTCAACCAAAAGTTTAAACTTATAAATGTACGTTCAGTCCTGATTTAACCACCAAAAGTTTAAACTTGCGATTGTAGACAAAGGAAATATTTTTTTTAATGATCTAATAATGCTTAGAATGTTTGGGTCGCAGGAGAAGGGGTGGAGAGAAATGTGTCATCGGAAGAGGAGGTAGATCATAATAATGCGGGCAGTTTCATCGACCCGCAGGTGGAAGACCGGGAACTGAAGGGGCAGCTGCTGCGGAAATACAGCGGGTATCTGGGCAGCCTCAAGCAAGAGTTCATGAAGAAGAGGAAGAAGGGGAAGCTGCCCAAGGAAGCCAGGCAACAATTGCTGGACTGGTGGACCAGACATTACAAATGGCCTTATCCTTCGGTATATATATCACACCATATTTACTCCCTCGCTTTATCAATTATCTTCTCATTCATTTATATTCTCATTGACAAGTTCTTAATCTTCTTTATTTGCTTATTTCGTAACTCATTTGATAAAATAATATACATACTCTTGTAATCACTAGTCTTTTAAATCTTCTTATCTAACTTTTAAAATAACATATACTCCGAATAACTTTTATTTCGAAGTTTCATACTTATATATTTTCATATAAAATGAACAAAAAAATAAATTCACAAACACTCCCAAAAATTCTAAATCTAACATAAATACTCTTGAATTCATAAATTTACGTCATTAATCCTATATCTATCTCATATTTATACCGTTACAGTTGTTTAGTCATCATGTTTGTTCCCTACATACATGGCTATGTTGATGCTAGGTAGATAATTTAAGAGTCCTAGCTTGTAAATTTTCATTTTAGACAACCAAATTTAAATGCCTTAATTGTGTCCTCTTCATCTTCTTCCCCACATCTTTCTCTCGTTTTAGCTGTCTAAGCTTTTGAATTGGACTTGAATTTTTCAAGGCTGATCTGGTCTAATTTGGTCAGAGTGATTAGGTCTGAATGAATTTCATATATTTTGAGTGGATCTGATTAAATTGTTATTTTAAGTTGTTGGTTTGATCTAATTAAATTGTCCACTTGGCAGTTAAAGAACAACACATGATGATTAGGTAGTACCGGAGTAAAATATGAAATATTTTTAGGAAGGATGGCATAAATTAATAAACTTGGAAGTATTCAAGTAAAATTATTATTTTTTGGCAGTGTCCCTGTCAATATTCCATTTTTTTAATATATAAGCATCTCTTCTTTATCCATTCCATTATGTTTTTGCGAATCTAATTAATTATAAAGATGATACATAAAATATACGTATTATACATTTCTTCGGTCTTGAAATAATCATTTGGTTATTTAGAATTTCTTTTTTTTCTTTATGTTTTCCATTTGTTAACAAATTTAAAACTAATTATATCACATTTTGTTTTAGTGTATTTAAAGTTATTTTTTAATATCTAAATTGTATTTTAAAATTTTGTACACTCTGTCATATAGTTAACTTTTTATTTCAGTTTACGAGGCGTAATGAACTTTATTTTCGATTTAATTTATTTGAATATAAGTAAAAGTTTAATAATATAATTTATATATTTAAAAACAATACCATTAAAAGTTCTACAAATTAAAAGTGAGATGACTATCATATTTTACTAAATACTCCGTAGATAATAAAAACATTATTATTATTATTATTATTAATGTTTGATGAAGTGGGTGGGTGCAGGAATCGCAGAAGGTGGCACTGGCGGAAGCGACGGGGTTAGACCAGAAGCAAATAAACAATTGGTTCATCAACCAGCGGAAGCGCCACTGGAAGCCGTCGGAGGACATGCAGTTTGTGGTTATGGACACCGCCGCCGCCGTCTCCCATCATCCCCACCACCATCACCATTACTATATGGCGGCGGACCACAATATGCACCCTTTCTCCATGGACATCACCCCTTCTTCTCTCCTTTGATTTCTTTATATATAATTATTTCAAAACTTATTACGAGTATTATTTTATAGTATGATATATACTCCGCCGCCGGTATTATTACACACACATATATATTTATATATGCTCGAGTGAGCTTGTATTAGTAGTGCATGCTGTGTGTGTTTTTTATTGTTGTATTTTATTATTATCAAATTAATTCTATTTACTCGGAGCCATTATATATATACACGGAGTAGTTATTTCATATGTAGCTTGTGATGTACGTACTTCATCTCTTTATAAATTATTTTCTCAGTTACTATTACGGTTTATTTTATAATTTATACACTTGTCACAAATTTAGTTGTATATTTACTAATAGCAGAATCAAACTTTTTTTATTTTTTTTCTTTTTTTATTAATCATTTGATAAAAACATATATATCACCACTTTGTAGATTGTTTGATTTAGTTTTAGAATATTTAATTTTTATTTTTAAATTATTTTCATATAAAATAATTTGAAAAGAACTTCAATGATATATTATGAATCCAAATAAGTAATTTAAATTGAGACGGAGGGAATATTACTTTACATAATTTTTATTATTAATAATTTGATAAGATAAAATATTATACGGAATAATTACTTCTTGTTTTGTATCTGTGAAACTTTTAATGACTTTGACAAATGTAATTTGTACTCGTATCTTTTTTTATATACAATTTGTAAAAAAAAGTAGTTTTTTATGGATAAAAAATACTCCCTCCGTCCTTCATAGATCTTCCCAATAGTCCTTTTTATTTGTCCACAATAGATCTTTTCATTTTATTTTTTAACAATTAAAATACCACAACTACCCCCACTTACTTTATTTATTATACCTCACCCACCTCATTTAATACACTCCACCCATTTTCATTAAGGGTATTATGGTAAACTTTCACCTTTTTTCAACTCTCCTTAAAAACCACCAAAAGTCAAAATGAGAACATCTTAGGGGGACGGAGGGAGTAGAATTTTGTCGGTCGTTCGAAATGAGAAATAAAAAATGAACGTATGAAGTATATATAACTCCTTTGTCTCAAATTAAGTTTCTTGGTTGCTATTAATTATCGGGTCAAGTTTCATTCATTTTCAATTTACGCTATTCATTTCATAAAATAATAAAATCATGTCAACTTTTTTTTCGTGGGCTTTTTGAGGTATATTTTTAATACATAAAGTTAATTTTTTTAAAAAATTTAGCTTCAATTCTTTAATAAATACTACGTAGAATGGAAAATTAATTCAACAAAACATCGTAACAGTCGATTTAAATTGAAGCGAAGAAAATATTGTATGCATGCTTCATTCGTTTCTTGTTCTATAAATGATTCCTTAATAGATCAACCCAGACAAATGAATACTTTTTATATCATGCCCCAAGTACATTTTATTTACTACTTTCTCTGGTCCTAAAAACATTTTATATTTTGACTTTTTCTGGTGAAACAATGACATTCTTGGATTATAAATTAAATATATTTTTCTAGATCCGTCACTACATGTAGGGAATTCTCAGAGGCAATGATGTTTTCAGAATTTAAGGTTTTGGATTGGATCATATTTTAAAGCTTTAGCTAAAATATGTCCAGCTCGGACGTTGGTAAACAATGAGCCAATATAGTCCAATACTAGTTTCAAATTGATAGCCCACTTCGGTCTTCGTAGAATTGGGCCTTTTTTAGACTTGTACGAACTTTTTAGATGGAAAAGACAAAATAGAATCTTCATCTGTCAATCTGTCATTAATTCATGGTGAAAAAAATTAAAATAAAAGTAAAATATTGAAAAATCAATAAAGTATGAGTTTCAATTTTTTTTTCTTCAAAATAAGAGTTTGTCCTGTAATAATGTGACATTGTATATGGATGATTTATAAATATTTTTTGGTGATGTACGTATATGATCATAACTTACACTATGTATGCATTTTATCTACAAAGATAATATAATTTTTAGATATGTTAGAAATAAAAATGTGTTTCGCAAAAAAAAATGGATATAGATGAATATAATCTTGCAAAGAGCTTAAACTTTCAAATTTATACCTTATTAGCAAGATAGTGTGCATGAGTTTTTTAAATTTCTTAGGGGCTGTTTGTTTCAGCCTCTTAATGGTTTAGATGTCTGAATGGTTCATCACTTAATGGTTCAGACTGTTTGTTTCAGCCTCTTAATGGTTCAGATGTCTGAATGGTTAAGAGATTTGCCTCTGAATGGTTAAGTATTATACAGAGTCTGAATGGTTAAGACCTCTTATCTGAATTGATCAGACATTTGCCTCTGAATAGTTAAGCAATATACTAGCTCTTAATGGTTCAGACCTCTTACTGGTTCAGCACTTAATGGTTCAGACCTCTTACTGGTTCAGCACTTACCCATTCAGAAGTTGCCAAACAGCCCCTTATTCTCTTTGATTTTTTTCATATACAGAGTACTATTTTTTCTATGAGTTCTTTTGGTTGGTCGAGAAATGTTTGGAAAATCAACCTTTAAAAATACTATTAGTTCAAATGGTAAAATAAAAGTAAAAGTTGAAAACCCAATAATCGTTAGTGTTTTAGATAAAACATTAACGATGCATATTGATTTTGAAAACGCTAACACTGAACGTTGTCTGTTGATAGTCTTTTCAAAACATTAACCCCTTTTAACGTTATACTCAAAAGAGCCCATCAACATAATATTCCTTCGGAGTTCTAAACTCAAAAAAGCCTAGACCCAAACCGGAAACCACTCCAAAAAGTTCAAGTCATTGGGATCCGAAAGGATCAAAGGAAAACCCTAGCGAGTACGTACTAACACGTCTTTCATACCGCACGATGACAGCAGGGAAGCAGTAAAAAACAAAAGAGCCCCCCCGCGGCCGGTCGCAACACGACCACCCATAAACATACGAACATACGAGACTCTCAGTCACTGTACCTGATCCCATCATCTAGGGTTTATCCTATAATTCAACCTGCGACTCGACACGACCACACTTAAATTAATTTTCTTCCCCATTATTATTATCATTATTATTATTCATCCATCTCTCTCTATATATATAATCCCTCAGAGATCAAATACATATTTATACTTGTATATATATACAACGACCCATATATGGCCAAGAACAGGCATGGGAAACGAGATTTGCACTCCTTCACAATCCGAGGCACCAACAAAGTCGTCCGAGGTACATTTATTTTGTTTTTTCAATTTGTTTTGTTTTTTTACGGATTTATTTATTTACTTGTTTATATAAATAATGCACGCGAAGCTGGGGAGTGTGTGTTGATGAGGTCGCCGGAGAACGAGGCGGTGCCGTACGTGGGGCATGTGGAGAAGATCGAGGCCGACGACCGGAACAACGTGAACGTGACGGTGAGGTGGTACTACCGGCCGGAGGAGACCAAGGGCGGCCGCCAACAGTTCCACGGCACCAAAGAGCTCATGTTGTCCGACCACTACGACGTCCAGAGCGCCGACACCGTCGAGGGCAAGTGCAGGGTCCACTCCTTCGCCGCCTACACGGAGCTTCCTTGCGTGGGCCCCGAGGATTACTACTGTCGTTTTGAGTACAAAGCCGCCGCCGGGACTTGCCTCCCCGACCGCGTCGTCGTGTACGCTTTTTTTTTTTTTTTTTTTTTTTGTATTCTCTTTGTTTCATTGTTTTGTTTTTTCATGTGGTTATTTGTTCTTACTTAATAGTGATGTAGTCACATTTTGTTTGGCTTGAAAGGTATTGCAAGTGCCAGATGCCCTATAATCCAGATGACATCATGATGCAATGCGAGGCCTGCATGGACTGGTATGTATATGTAAAACCTTTGATGATGATGATGATGATGATATTTGTATGTTTAGTCATCCTGAATATAAAAAACCATCATACATATGAATACTAATCCCAGCTATGTGTATTTGTATCCCATAAATTTAAGTTCTTGTTTTATTTGAGAAAAAGTGAAACTGAATGATAAAACTCAATGCAAAATAAAGATAAATGCTCGATCGGTAGTGTGAACCACTTATTTCTTGAGTTAGTGATCTCTCGTAAACAGTCCCTCATCTACGTCTGAATTGGAGTAAGGCATGTATACGCAAACCCTTCCCACATCCTCTCGATCATTCTATTTCCAACTAAAACTTTCCACTGAAAAAGGAAAGTGAGAAATCCATTTAGGGACGGCGAGAGTATACAAGCAATTGGGTGACTTCTTGGAGCCTAATAAAGTAATTAAGCCCAACTTAAAGGAGCTGAGGGACTGGAATCATGTGTGTGTGTGTGTGTATCTTCATCTTTTTATCTTTTTGAAGGTACCATCCGAGGTGTGTGGACATGTCCATCCAACAGGCCAAACAGTTGGATCAATACATTTGCACCAGTTGTGAACATTCCAAAAAACGCCCAAACCAGCCTTCTTCTACTCTTCCTGCTTCAATCAACAATGACAAGGTTTGTTTTTTCTCATTCACTAGTGTTTTTTTGTCTTTTGCTGGATGCCCACTTTTGATTACTTGAATGTACATATTGGAGAGCATTTTATGTTGCACCAATTTTTTTTGCAGGATAGATCGAAACGCCAGAAGAGATAGGGTTATCTCAGCCCGAAAGGGGCCGGGATGCGTCGCCCCGCAGGAGTTACAAGAAATGATTAGTGTCTCTTCTAAACTAGCATGAGTAGAACATGCATCATGTATAAGTGATTCTGGCAAACTCACAAATTTTACTCTTCCACAATGGGCTCTTAGTTTGGATGTAGCATTTCAAACATGAAAAAGAAAGAGGGAAAAAAACTCAGTTACAGAACGGTACTACTATATAATCGAATGTACAAAGTCATATACTCATCAGTTGCCTGTATTGCACATGCACTCGCGACATCTTGGGTACCGATACACACTTCTGCCAAGTGGGCGCGAAAACACTCGTTTCGTTTGCCTCACTGCCTTTCTCACCCTGTCCTCAAACGCCTTCCACTGGATGGTGTTGTTCTTGACAAAGATGTCAGCAAGTCTGCGTTTGTTTGGGCGTATGGTAGCCATTTTCCCACCTCCATAATACACTCTGTAGCCAGATACCAATGAGGAGAATTGGCTCCCTGAATCTGTCATAGCAAACACATCCGAAGCAGTGCAGACAATGAAGTCCATAGCAGCTAGCTGCAACAGATATCTCAAATAAATTTACCAAGTTATAGCCTAACTTCTATAGTTCTATTTTTTCCCACATTTTATTTCATTCCAAATTTCCTGTGTTTCCCTCCCTTCCTATCATAAGCGAACAGATCGGAGTAAATATACCTGAGAAGAGAAATTTGCAAATGGTTGGATTTCAGATGGGGAAAGCAAACTTTCTTTTGTTGCTAAATATGGATATAAGGTCGTTAAGGCAGCAAGCCTTGACTTCCCTCCATAGATATGTGCACCTGCTAGGTATATGTGTGTTTGACGCTTGTAACCAAGGGAAGCAAGCACGAGAGCTGTTTCTTCGGGCATTAATGGACACAGACCTTCAGACCTAAGAGTTGCAGGGGAGGGTAACCTGCAACACATATATATGGTTTTCTTGAAAAAACGGTGCTGAAATTACTTTTTATATTGAAATGGATGAAATAAAAGCACTCTTATTCCATTAATTCAACTGATCCACTTAATTCAGCCATTTCGACCAAATTTCACCCTTGCTTTACAATGATAATGATGCATGCACATTAATCAGAGGGTGTGAATGATGGTAATTTTGCTTTGGAACTTCCTAAAAATCATAGTTCACATGAATTTTTTTGTCACAAGTAAATAAGATGAGGAAAAAATGGTACTCCCTCTGTCCACCATAGATCTTCTCAGTCACTATTCACAGGGTCAAACTTCACTCACTTTGTTTGCTCATTTTTACTAGTCATTTCATAAAATAATATAGTCTTGTCACCTCTAGTTTTGTAGAACTTTTCATGTAGTTTATTTCTATATAAATTTTATTTTAAAATTTTACTCCTATAATCAATTAAATTGAATTAAAAATAAAGTCGGTCAAGCCTCGTAACGCGTAATGAGAAGATCGTAGGTGGACGGAGGGAGTATAACTTACTTCTTGGTCTTTGTTAGGTCCGCCAGTGCAGGGAAATGAATTTGACGATATGCTTCCAATTCTCGCCTTTCTTCTTCGCCCCCACCAAATTCACACAAAGAATGGGCCACCATGTCAATTTCAAACCTAAGGTGTAATGCCAAATATTTCGGCGTACTTTTTACAGCTCGGTTACTTTGACCCCTTATTGTTGATGTTGCATATGGACCAACAAGGTGAGGATCCAATCGCCCCAAGCGTGTTACATTTTGTCTCATCCTCCGAATAAGCAAAGCACCAATTTCTTGTATTTTGGGAACAAATCTCAGCGCATGAAAATTACATCTGCATCGAAGTCTCTAGAGGAAGTTCAGAATTTAGGAAACAATGACCCAATGTATACTCCCACCCACTAAATTTATCATATTGGTCTTGTAACTTTTTTTGGCAAGTTACATAAGAAATTATTTCCATTTTATCAAGTGGGACTTTTTTTTTGGGTGGAGGGAGTATAAAAGAAATGACCCAAAACCAGGGGGAAAGATCCAAAAGGAAGCAAAGGATTTACTTGCAGCCGAAATGGTAATGGATCGGATGCCAGGCGATTCCCAAATCCAACAAAATGGACAACCCTATTATGATTCAGGATATGTAGAATATGCTTCAAATAAAAACTTGGCTTGGCTTCTTTAGGAATATTTTCATCTGTCACCTTTTTCCCAGTTTGAAATAAAGCAACAAGTGTGAATATGTGATCTAAGTGCATGAACTATAAAAAAACTACTTGTGAACAGTGTATATGATAATAAACTCACCAGACTGCCAATTGCCTCCAAATCCAATGATTGTAACTCCTTTGGGAGTTCTTTCACTATTCGAATGTCAGGTCTCAAGTAGCTGATAAAATGCTCCTCCTGATAGATATCGCCAAACTGACTAAGAAATTATAGATTTTGGCTGTTACTCTTCTGTTTTTAAACAATACATCCCTCCCTCTGCACTGTCACTTTTTTTGTGTGTCCGAAATGAGTTTTCATTTAATCATTTTATATTATCAAAATAACGTTCATTACATATTTCCAATTTTACCCGCCTATACTTGATGCAACAACCTACCTAGTGAAGTCCCACAAGTGGGGTTCAGGGTGTGTGTAGGCATACCTTGTCCCTACGAAAGCAAGCTAATACACAACAACAACAACAACAACCCAGTTAAATCCCACAAGAGTAGGGTCTGGGGAGGGTGTGTGTACACAGACCTTACCCCTACTCGAAAGTAGAGAGGCTGTTTCCAAAAAGACCCCCGGCTCAACGTCGAAAGTTGCATTGCTTGACTAACTGCTACTTCATTAATTAAAAAAGCGCAGACAGTTTAGAGATCCATTTTGATTTATTCCATCACACCCCAAAGCCAAAAAATGGTGAAATTTTGGCTCCATCGGAGATGATGGAAAGAAAGCAAGCTAATATATATCTTTAATTTTTTTTATTTAAAAAAAAACATATATTTAAATAAATGCGTACAAAGAAAACACCTTGTTAAACTCAGCTACCTCCTACAATCTGAGACAACTAGAGCAAAAAGATAGACACACGACACTCCAATCACCCTATACCTTTAATCCTGGACTACTGGAGACCTCGGCCCCCATAGTTTCCTATCTAAGCTGTTACAGCCTCAAGTCCAGTAGTCTAGTCACTTCACCCCAGATTTTATTTTTTTACCGTTGTAAATACAAGTAGTATAATAATATGACACAACTTTCATATTATTGACCTTAGATACGTAAACTAAGTAATGGCATATTAGAATTTACTCTTATGAATCCATTTATTTTAACAATTTCTTAAAATGTGTGAAACATTACGAAGTGACATCCTTTTTGGAACAGAGGGGGAGTATATACTATGTATTGTACCTTGGGAAGAAGAAGCATTCCGGTGGTACATACTAAGAAATGAATGAACATTTTAACCTGACATCTCTCCACACACTGCTATACAGAAATTTGGGAAGAACGAGAGTTGAATTAAGCAATCTTGCAACAGCTACAGCATTGCAAATCTGTTGCGCAAGCAGATGAAGACAGTAGCTACAATCAAATTCATTGTGTAATACTTTGTATTTAATTATTGGACGGAAATATTGCAGATGTTTTGCAACACATGAAATATAAAAAAAGTAGCAAAAGACATGACTCACAGCTACTCTCTGCTGATTTATACCGCCATTTGCAGTAACCATAATGTAGCCAGCATTTCCATCTGAATTTAATTTTGAATTACGTTCGTTCAAACAAGAATAAGACTAACCCAAAGGGAAATGACAATACCCCCCTTCCCACCCAGAGAGAGAGAGAGAGAGACCACTTGGTTTCCAATCACGCTGCTCGGCACAAGGTTTCCATGTCGAAGCGATAGCGTAGGGTTCTGCCCAGAGGTCTTTAGGCTCAGGTTTATTATTAAGCTGCCATGTAAGATATTCCAATCTTAAAGCCTCAAAAAGATAAAACTAGAAAACGGAAAACACAGTGATCTAATTAGTACACTGTGAAGAGAGTACCTCAGCAAGAGCATGGGCAGCCTTAGCCAGCAGCCGTGCATAGATAGTTTTCTGTGGTCTTTTTCCTTTACCAAGCTTTATGAGTTCTTCCTATATTTGTTCAAAATAAAGCTTAGTGGCTTAGTTCCTAACTTACTTTACTAATATGACTTATATTTCATACAACAAATACAACAACAACCCTGTAAATCTCAGGAATGGAGTCTAGGAAGGTTGAATGTCACAAACCTTACCCTACCTAGAAAAGGTAGAGACTTTGTTTCCGAAATGCCCCAAACACAAAAAATAGATTATATCTAGATATACATACACCAATATACACGGAATACATAGTGTATGTCTAGATATGCATTCTACCAAAACATATGCATAAACTGATTTACACAGCCATTTCAAGCATCTATGCCATTTCTCCATTTACGGATGTGGATATGAATTACGCATCTATATCTGTTATAAACGAATCCACCCCCCAATTAGAATTCAATTCTCGGTTTAATCATTACGAAGCACACTCATTAACACATACTACATAGATACACAACAATTCTTCTGAATGCTTTCTTTGGAAAAATGTGATCTTGAGCAGAAATCCAATACAAATAATTCAATATCTTTCTTTTTCTGCAACTCCAAACAAATGCAGGAGTGGAGAAATAGCCTACCCGAATCGGGAAAGTAGATGCATTAGCTTTTATGAGTTTGAATTTGATCCCACTGGCGTGACCCGAATCCTGGATCCGATACAGCATCCACCAATTCGCAAGAACAACCGCTGCAATCAGCAAAGGAAACCCTAGCTTCGTCCAGAGCCGGCACCGGGCAAACTGTTTCTTATTCGCCGTCCTCCTCTGCCCGGATGAGGTGGCATGGTACCCGTTGGATAGAGACGAAGAGGAGCAAGAAGGTGAGCGGGTACGAGGCAATGGCTCGAACAGGTTGGTCTGCGACGGAGATCTCAATCCGGTACCTAAACGCCGCAGCTGTTCGCCGTCGATTGATGGAGTCTCGGAGCAACTAGAGTTGCTGTGAGGCATTTTTCTTGTTTTCTTTTCTTGAGAGAAAAAAAAACATGAAGTTTTCTGCGAAACTTGCAGGTTAACTTGATCTCCGGAGGTTCCGTGCCTTGCAGCCGGAGAAACTTGCAGGGAAAGCTGCCATCACTCAATCTATCTGATTATCTGTGCTAAATTTCGGAATAAAGCATTACTCTTTTTGGAATAAAAGCTCTAAATAAAATTAAATTTACTAAATTCAAATTAGAACAAGTCAAAATTTATTTTAATCAAATTAGAGGATTGGAAGAGTTTCCCAAGGATTAGGAATAAAAACTACCGAGTACTAATTTTACGAACGGAGCATCGTAGAGGAGCAGTGTCCTTCATGACCACTCAAATAGAGTGAAAATGAATCTGGCCTGTTTCATATTTTCTCCGTCCCTAAAATAATTTTCTTTTTTGATCAATGTGTGAAACCCCGTAATTTTTAAAATGATTTTATTTACAAATTGATAAAGAAATAAGAAATAAAAATTTTATATTTAAAAACTACGGAGTACATAAAAACTCTGCAAAACAAGATGCGACAATAATATTTTGTTTTATCAAATGATCAACGAAAACATATAAATAAATTTAAGTATTGAGAAATCATAGTAGTAAACTAGTAATTCTCTTAGAGACATGGTAATATATCTGTAATTTTTTTAGTTCCTCCCCTATAGGTAAAGTCACAAATGAAAAAAAATTAAAACAAATTTGATATAATATGGTTGAAATTGGAGGAAACGTGTTAAATTTATTTTTCTTTATTAAGTACCCTGAGTATTTGGAATAGAGAAATTTACCTAAATAGTATTAATAAACATTAAATTTCTCAATATAGTACCATATATTTTATTTTGTGATATAATACCACCGGTCATTGTACACGGATTATTGTTTAAGTAAATTTCTACTGACACTAGACATCATTCAAACTAAATGTCCACTATCACTGGACATTATTCTCGTCATTAGACATTACTCAAATATTATTCAGGAAATAAAAAACTTAAATACTACATTAAAAAATGACATATATTTTAGTATCTGGAGTACTATTTGATACGAACTTCAGTCTAAAAAGTCACAAAATTTGATATAATATGGTCATTAAAAATATATTTGGGGTTAACTTTTCCTATCATTTTTTCAAAAAAAAATGAAAGATCAAAATTTGGAAACAGGGATCAAGGAGTGGTTGAAAAAAGGGAGCTGAACAGTAGCTGAAAAGTCGGCATCTTGGTGCGGAAAGATGAACAAGAAAGGTCTCGCAGTTCTTATGCGGACCAAAGTGCGTCCCTCCATATCACCACCTTTTCCGGTATGTATATTTCTATTAATACACCATTCCTTTTTCGTCTCCGCTGTTTTAGAACTCGGTGCAACTCTGCGGCATCATCTTCATAATTTTTTGAAGTTTTCCAATTTCTTTGGATTTTGCCTCATTTTCCCCTGTGATTGGATGCGCAACAGAACACATTTCACAAAATGAAGACCTCTCCCCGGGAAAGCGCCCCAATTTCTCCTCCCTCTACACCCTCCGATTCCGAAAGGTGGGTTTTTTTCCCTCAAACTTTAACTACTTTCCTGTTTGTGTGTTAAAAAGGGGAATCATCAAATTATGTTTGAGAATAATCATGTAATTTATGTTTAGATATTTCTAGGAATAGATTGATGCTAAATTATGTAGTGGTATCAGGGACTTTACTCAAGTAAGGGATTGGATGCACTCTGCAATATCAATGAACAAGGCAGAAATTTTAGATGCTGCTCTAGATGAGTTTTCTGAGGTGGATTCCTATAACGACTTTTTTCTTACTACATGAGTTTTTTTTACTCACTGTAAACTTATTTGCTTCAAAAAGTTTGGGTTTTGAGATGTTTATAGTTTTTTTTTACTTGTTGTTGATCTAGGGTTATGTTTGTCTTTCCCATGAAAGTCGTCGGGAATTACTTCTTGCACTTGGCCAAGATTACGATCTCCACCGGGCTCAAGTTCGCGAGTTGATGAAACAATATCTTGATCTTCAGCTTCCAAGTGGTGTGTTCAACAATTATTGCCTTAGACATTGTTGGATTAAGTACTTATTGTTTTGTAGTTTGAATCTAAAATCACAGAGCATTGGCAGATAAGGCTGAAAACAGTGGGAATGAAGAGGAAGGGTCACTTTCTGCTTTCTACAGGATAGAGCGGAATCTGAGGCATGCTTTGAAGCCAATGTATGAAGTTCTCTTTGAGCGCCTCAATACGCATCCTGGAGGGTTGAAGTTCCTATCTGATATGCGGGCTGATATTATTTCAATTCTCGCGTAAGGTTATGTCACACGTTGAGCAATTTTGATCCTTCCATCATTAGTTCTATGGACGATTGAACATGTTTAAAAGTCAAATTAAATTCATGAGGAATGAGAAGGGGTTTCTTGGAATGTGGAAAATACATGTGAAAAGAAACACGGGGGAAATTATAGAAGAAAATTGAAAGGAAAGAACTTTTGGAGGGGAATGTAAGATATGCTCAAACACAATTAATTTATTGTATACATATCTCATATATTTGGACTCAATTTCTTTGTAAGTACTCCCTCGGTCCCTCCGTCCCCACATAAGACTTATGGAGCAACGAGGCAAAATGAATTGTTTCTTTAATTCATTTTATTTAAAAATTGAAAATAGACATAAAAAATAAAACTCATATATTTCAAAACCACGTCAAAAGTTCTACGAACTAAGATGTGATTTGACTATATTATTTTATCAAATGATTAATGAAAATACAAAAGCACACAAAGGAAGTATTATATAAAGACTAAGAATTTAAAAAATCTAAATATATGCAAAAAATCCTTAACATTGGCTTAAAAAATTAAGGTCCCTCAAAATGGTACTGAAATTATTAAATAAAGCTAATTTTATAGTTTCATATGCGGTTCCACTAAAGAAGGGTGAAATGTGAAAGGTGTGGTTGAGACATATATAGAGGAGACACGAATAATATGAACCAAACAATTATTTCCATAAAAGCAAAGTGAGACTTATTTTTGATAGGTCACTAAGAAAATGTGGAAACTTTTTTTGTGGCAGATGGAGTATCATATTTCATTTTTCTTTTTATTTTCCAAGATAAAGTGAAAAAGAAATTCCCAACATTTTTTCTTTTCTGTAACATTTTCGTGGTTCAAAACGGACTTGAGGAGTTTGTCTTGGTGAGTTGCAGTGTACTCATGAAAGGAACAACTTTGTGATTTGTGATTACTGATATTATACTTCATTACAGGGATGAAAATGTGGCATCATTGAGAGCATTAGATTCCTTCTTGAAAGAAAAACTTGTTACATGGCTCAGCCCTGCAAATCTAGAGCTCCACAATATAACATGGGATGATCCTGCATCTTTGTTGGAGAAGATTGTGGCATATGAGGTCCCTTTTTTTCTTGACACCGTGATATTGTTTGATGCTATACGGAGAATCATAGTATTTCATACCAACAGGCTGTACATCCAATAAGCAATCTCATAGATCTCAAAAGAAGGCTGGGAGTAGGTCGTCGTTGCTTTGGTTATTTCCATCCAGCAATACCTGGTTAGTCGTGCTTGACTTAATGGTGATTTCTTTATCTGGTTAGACTTGCACCGCGGTAATTCCAATGAAAAACTTTGTTCTGTAGTAAATCTAACCTGTCAGATAATCAACTGCTCCAGCAATGTTTAATGACTGACATTGACTATCTTTAGGTGAACCTCTTATTTTTATTGAAGTAGCACTTATGAAAGATGTGGCTCAGACAATACAGGTAGAAGTTTGTGTTTGATAGATGACTTGTTTATTCAGCTCAAATATGCCTTAGCTATGTTGGTATTGCAGGAGGTCTTATGGGATGATCCTCCAGCGCTTGAATGTGATGCTAGTTGTGCCCTATTTTACTCTATTTCATCTACTCAGGTGAGCATTCAAATTTTACTACATTAAAAAATCATATTTCAACAAGGTGCAACTCTATAATTTCACCGAGGGCCTAAAGTTAATTTTTTGAAGACTCTTTTCTTGGGACGTAGAGAGTAACTATTGAACGTCTCATTGCATCCTAAGAGGGGAGTGAATTAGAGTGATAAAATTGGTGTGCCTTGTGCAAAATAACAAGCGGTGCGAGTAAATAAATACGAAAAATAAATAGAGTGCAGTGATATTTTATACCCGTTTTCTTCTCTACCTATAATGATTTAGAGAGATGGTTAGTTTTGTACGTAATAAAATTATTTCAGAAATCATCGTATGTGATGGCGCTGGTGAAATCCCGACTAGGCGTTGACTTTGGGTTTCCATTCCTTTGCAAGGCTTCACAAGAATTTTCTTACCATTTCTTTTAAGGTGTAGGTCTTTTGAGAGCATCAAGGTTGTTAATGATATTTGAAAATCATTCAAACATATCTTCAAAACTTTCATTTTTTTAATTGAAAATAGTTCATTTCCTGACCGAGTAAATCCATCCTTGCTTCTCAGTTCTCACACTCTACTCGTTCTTTCATATGTGACTTTCGAGTTTATCGACGGTTTTGTGACTGACCTTTTTAGTTAAAACTGCTCCGTTCTTGATCATGAGCTATGCTTCAAAAATTCATGTGTTCAACAACAACAACCCAGCTAAATCCCACAAGAGTAGTAGGGTCTCGGGAGGGTGTGTGTACGCAGACCTTACCCCTATTCGAAAGTAGAGAGGCTGTTTCCAAAGAGACCCCCGGCTCAACATCGAAAGTTGCATTGCTTGACTAACTGCTACTTCATTAATTAAAGAAGCGCAGACAGTTTAGAGATCCATTTTGATTTATTCCATCACACCCCAAAGCCAAAAAATGGTGAAATTTTGGCTCCATCGGAGATGATGGAAAACAAAAAAAATCATGTGTTCAACATTCTATATAATTATAGATCGTTTTCTCAAATTATTAAGTGTATTCAAAGATACTATCTCTTATACCAATTGCTAGAATAAGTGCCCAACCTAGAGGGGTGAAAGAATTGTGAGAATGTTATATCAGTTTTTCACAAGTTTGTGAATAAATAAAAATAATAAGCAACAAGAATATAAAAGAGCCAGGAAGGAAGAACAGTACACAAGTACACAACAATATATCTTTTGCAAGCACACTCATAGACTTGATGGGATGAACCAATTTCTTCCATTACCATTGGAATACTGTAAACACAGATTGTTCTCACATACTGATTTAGAAACTATATGTTCACTTGACAGAGCCAAGTTTTAAAAATTAATGAATCATATCCAATTTGGCTAAGTTGAGCATGATAATGATAGAAACAAAAATAACGTGCTTTTCATCTCTGCATTGTATTGTTCAAGTTCTACTTCGAATTCCTAAAAAATGAACGTTCTCATCCTTTTCTTTGTGCAACTACTAACGGGAGTTATCTTTAACTACAGTAATGTAGTAATGTGGGATTTTTTTTTTTGCAATTTTCACCACACTAATGACATCACTTGTACTTCTCTATTGCAGCCTGGTTTATCAGGGATTAACCTTGGAAAGTTTCTAATCAAGCGTGTGATTGATGTGGTAAAGAAGGATTTGCCCAACATCTCTGTAAGTTCTGTTATATTTGATACCTGACCGTCATCATCTTAATCCCAACTAAGGTTGCGTTCTTGTGTTCGCTTTGTCTGAACTTATTGATTTTGATCCAAGTTTTTTAAGGCTGATTTGGTCTAAATGAATTTGATCTGATTGTAGTGTAATTTAAAGCTGTTGCTGATGTGATCTAGCTGTTCTGATCCTGATAAAAATGAGTAAAAAGTAGAAAAAACAAGTTGAAGAGAATAGGGTCTAAGATGGAGTTTGTGGCATTCAATCTTTAGTGTCAATTCTACCTTTTTCCTGCCATATTACTGCTTAAAAGCCCCTCTTAGTTCTATGGGCCCTCCCACCTATTGGAGTTCTCAGTTAACAGTTCTATGGCCCCTCTTATGTTTACAATTTGTTTTCAGTCATTTGCAACACTAAGCCCTATTCCTGGTTACATGCAATGGCTGCTCTCTAAGTTGGCTTCTTCAGAGAGATCAACTCCTACTTTTAGGGAGAACTTGCTTAATCCAGATGAAGAAAGAGCCATTTTAGATGCTTCCGGGTAAGCAGTTGTTTATGCAAACTTCTTGTTTTGATTTATAGATGTCAATATGTCATCTAAAACTAAATTGTTTGGGAAAAAGAGCATGAAATCCTATTCAATTGCTTGTATTTGAGATTTAATGGAACAAGATATGAGTTTCTGTTTTTTTTTCCCTTCATATATCTGTCTCTTTTGAAACACCAAATAGGCATCATCTATATATCTGTTATTTGTCTTTCTTATATCTCAGAGCCATCGTTCCTTGTCTGAAATCCTCTAAAGAGCCGTGACAATTTTATATTACTGGGTCTAAAAGGGGAAAAAACGTTGCCAATATTGTTCTTTTGTTAAAATGATCTCATTGTGATTATTATGGCAATTATTTTGTTTACAGAGAATTGAATATAGGAAAAAGTGGTATGGAAGTGCTGTGGAATCTGTTGGCATCAAAGGACTATGAGTGGGCAAATTCAATGAACTTGACATCTGTGCTTAGAGCCCCTCTTATGCGACTTTGTGTGAGGTACGTTGAAGAACATATGTAAAAGTGTGAGAGTTAAGGAAACAGGTTATATATTTATTGTATTATAACTTCCATAAAATGTATTTTTCTTGGTGTTTATATATTAACTTCCATTTGTTTGCTTTTGGGCTTGCAGGTACCTTGTGCACGAGAAGAAGAGAGGAAAGGCTCTCGACTCTGTCGCCAATTTCCACTTACAAAATGGGGCTGTATGATAAGTAGATATTAATAAATTGGTTTTTATTTATGACAATTAAACATGTATTAAAATGTCGGACAATTGTGACAAGTGATTATGTCGGATGAAACGACATTTATGTTGGTTAGTAAATTCCATTTTAGATGGTTGGAAGACTTAATTGGATGGCCGACAGATCCGAAAAGGGCCTTAAGCAAAGTGGCGGTATAATGGTAAATTACATATATAGGTAAGACTTATGTTCCTTCCTCTGAATTCTTCTCTTACAATAATTTCATGTTTGCTTAAGCAAAATGGTTTTTTTCAAGCCTCATGATTAATTTTGTTTACCATTTACATCATTAAGTGTGGTAAGTACTCAATTTTTTTGAGTATTATAAAGATTTCCATCTGATCAAACGTGTTCATAAGATTAGTGGTTGACTTGACTTTATTAATAATGATTTTCAGGCTGGAGAATATTGAAGAAAATGCTCAGTCCTATATTTGTGGAGGGCATATCCAAACATCCTCTGATGCCATATTCTCTTTTGAGGTAATTTAAGTAAAAAGATGCTTTTACCAGCTTGATCACTTTTTCTCCCTCTGATTTCCCTCTGCATTTCACTGAAATTAAAATTTTAATTTACCTGCTTTGAGAGGATGCAGGATGATCAACAAGATAGAAAGGATTAGTACTATATGTCCAAATTGTATAATCTCTGCTCTCATCATACAGGTAAATATGTCTATAATAATATTAATTAATCTGCAAATGTAATTTCTTTTAAACTCTTAATATTTGTCCAAGAAATTTGTGGTTTTAATTGGCAGCCCAGAGTGTTGGTATAAAATTATACAATTTATGGGGGCAGCGGTGTAAAATTTTCAATTTCGGAGTATTAACATAAAACCACAAATTTCTTGGAGTATTCGTGTGAATTTTTCCTAATTTTTATTTATAGTTGATGATTTAAAAAAATGTAATCATGAAAGGGGCTTTCTGAGTACACATGTTTTTTTTGTCATGGAGCCCCGAGATGAGTTGGCTGCCACATGGCAGATAATGCTTCTCTCGGGGCTCCATGACTACACATGCTCTAAGAATACACCGAAAGTCCCGAACAACATACGTAGTACTCCTTCTGTCCCAAAAAGTCAGTTATGCTTCGAAAAATTTGCGTCCCTTAAAGTCCTTTCCATTTCTATTAAAAAACCACTTTTACCACTTACTTTTTCATACCCTACCTTTCACATCATACCTTTTTCCTAATAAATTACCCATCACATCATACTTTTATCCATCACATCAAGGGTATTTTTGGAAAGTCAACACCAAAATATCTCTCCTTATTTTACCATTTTAGTCAAAATGTCCCAATCTTTTTGGGACGGAGTGAGTAGTTTTCAATCACTAGCGCTTCTGAAAATTTTAAAGATAAAAAGTATGTTTAAACATTTAAAAAACAATTTTAAAATCATTAAACAGTTAGAACAATGAATGTCTTAGAGCATTCACAATGGCAAGACAATGCCTTCCCTTGTCATGCCATGTCAGCAAATTCCACTCAAATCATGGCATTCCCATGACCATTCCATCCCACTTTTCATTCCATGTGCAAGGCATGACTCTCTCATTTTTTATTTTTTTTAATATTTTTAATATTAGTAATTTTTGAAAAAAAATATTTTTTAAAAGAAGTAAACATATTTTAAAATAAAATAGATTTTTAAAATAATTTTTTATAATTAAAAATCATCAAAAAGTGCAAAAATAGACAAAAATAACGACTTGCCACTGTATGTTACGACACTCCACTCATTTGCCACACAGTGACTGAATTACTTTTTATTGGTTGAAACTATCCATGTCACTGTGTGGCATTTCATTTTTGCCTTGTCATTGTGAATGCTCTAAAAATATAAGGTTGTATACAAATTGGGTGCTTCTTGGCATGCAGGTGCACATGTGGCACACCCTCAGGGTCGCTTTTAATTTGTATGTGATTATTATTATTATTATGTAATCTTGGAGTCCCATTGTAAAATATTGAATCTTTGGCAGCCTATATATGTGATAATTAGGTGATCTTGGAATATTTTTATATAATCTCAAATTTATGGGAGCATTTGTATGATTAAAAAAAACAAGTTATATATGGACTTTACTCGGAAATAATACAACAATGGAGGATGTTAGAAGTACACCAAAATGGGGTATTCTATTTGTACACCAAGCAAATACAAAGTGTTTGTGTTTGTCTGTTTTTGCATGATGTACAAATGAGATATTCCATTTTAGTGTATCCCTAATTTTTTATCGAACTGGAGAGGTAACAACCTCAGAACCTCAAGAAAGGTTCCTCACTGTCACACGCCTAGGCCAATAGTACCCCAGCTTATCCTCCTCTAGCAATTGACGTGTCCCTAAATTTATTCTTATCTACAATAATTTATTGCTTATGTTTGGTCATACATTTTTTCTATAATGGAGTATGATAAAGAAATGATGAAAAAATTATTTCGAGACTAGATGTAAAGAGAAAATGAAAAAACTTTAAGGTAAAGAGACTACTTATAGTATACACTTATAGTATATGATAAACAAAACCACTGTCTTGAGTGGCAAGAAAGTCACCCTAATCCACTTAGTTTATCGTGAGGGCAGAAGCATTGAATTTTTGTGTGTCATTAAGTTGAAATAAATATAAATAGATACTACGTTGTAATTGAGTCAATAACGCTAATGGTATGTTTGGAAACATGGATTTGGATTTCAATTTCGGATTTGGCTCAAATTCCATGTTTGGGAAATTTAAAAATTTTGAATTTGGATTTGAGTCAAATTTTTCTCATTCATAACAAAACTTAATTTAAAATCCATGCAACACTCCTTGTCATTTGAAATTCAAGATTTCAAATTTTGAAATTGAAATGCATAAATTGAAATGAAATGCTAGTTGCCAAACACTACCTAAAAAATTATAGAGTATATGTACAGTCAAATTTGAATTAAGAGATTAATTATCATCACATTTAATGCTTTTGTTGGCTTGGTGCCCGTTTATCAACTACTTCAAGCCTTCAATATTTAGTTTAACACTTATTTTTAATGTTTAAAAAGGAAATCTGCAGTAATGAATTTCTTTTTAAAATGCTAATTTTGTTTCCCCCCAAACCATCCTCAGAAAAATAGAATTTGTATAATTTGGGATAGAAATATATATCTAATTATAGAAAAGAAGAATATCTTCAATGTTACTATACTAAAATAAGACTTTTGGTATAAAACCAAAGTGCCATAAACACAATGAAATGCCATTTTGTTGGTGTTTTGTAGTGTTAACACTCCTATGTTGAAAATAATTACTACTATAATATAAGATATCTTTACGCAAGTTGATTATTTGTCAATATATATAAGTGATTTTAATCGTCAAATATTATCAGTGATATCGTCACACCAAGAATATTTTCAACAAAAGTTATTTACACCAACAAATATTATCAGTGAAAATTATCTTAGAGTATATCATGATGCAACCTGTGTGATATAATCTTACATAAATATTTTCCCTATGAATTACCGATCAAGTATACATTGATAATCACATCACTTTTTGACTCTATTTTTACAAGTAAAAAAAATGAGATGTTTGTAAACTATTCACAAACATGAAATGTATGGTTAAAAGTTCAAAAGAAATATTATTTTTAGTGCATGTTACTTCGTACGTTCTACAAAAAGATTTTATATTTTATCTTCATTCGTCTCACAAAAATATTTAAGTATTTTTTACTTTTGAACAATTTTTTGTGATTTTATCATGTCTCTCGTTTGCATCACTTTCAATCATATAATACTATTTTTTAAATTTTACTTGTCAAGTCAAACATAGAACATGACAAATGAATAAGAATTAATTTTAATTTGTACATAGGGCATGCTTGATTGGTTGATGGTTGATGTAAATAATCATGTTATGACGTAGATCACATGTCCATTTAGCAACAACATTATATATTAGTTTTAGCATTTTAAAAATAATACTCCATATTTAATAACGTCAATGTTTCATTTTAACATTTTTAGGATTAATCTAAATTATTAAGGAATAAAATTTTATCTAAAAAACTATTCCCTAATTTAATACTACCTCCGTCCCATTGTCTTTGTCCACTTTTGACTTTTGAAACTGTTCATCTAAGCACTTTGACTCATCAAATTCTCTTAATGTGTAAACCTAGAAATAGTCATGTGTGATCTTGTTTGATTCGTCTTAACATATAGATTATTAATATATAATTTGTATAATTTTTTAATATACAAATTATAAGATAAAATGGATTAAAGAAGTGCATTAGATGGTGTGCCAAAAGGTAAGTGGACAAAGACAGTGGGACGGAGGGAGTACGGAGTACTACAAATAGACTGTTATATGACTATAAATAGTAAAGATCTATCATTTGGAAGAAAGGACCACAAGGTTTTGGACCAATTACTTAACATAGTCTTACACTCTTACTTTACTTTTCTTAAGCCGTATTTTGGATTTTTTTGTACTTTCTCCGTTTAAAAAAGTCAATTTATACAAAGGGAAACATTTTAAATTGTTTCCATTCATGTTATATAAAAAGAGAAATTTACCTAAATAGGACTAAAACATAATAATTTTCCCAATATAGGACCATATGTTTTTATTTCCCAATGTAGGACCTTTGGTCATTAACAAGTAGTCATTATTCAACTAAATGTCCATCATTACTGGACATTATTCCTTCCACCAGGTCATTATTAAGTCATATTTAGGGAATAAAAAAGTTCAAGTTCTACATTAGGAAAGTCATTATGTTTTAGTCCTATTTAGTGCAAATTTCACATATAAAATTTGTATATAAATAAAAAATAAAATATATTAGTAATATTTAAAAATTATGTTAAAATTAACCTTAAAAATTTTTGTCTTTTTTTCCTTGTCCCAAAATGTCTTTCTCCATTTTATTAAAAAAAGTAACTTTTATCCCTCATAATTTTTACTCTTCCTATTACATTATATATTTAGGGCCTGTTCTTTAGGACTGGAAAAAAAACTGGAAACTGGAAGAAACTGGAAGAAACTGGAAGGAACTGGAAGAAACTGGAAGAAACTGGAAGAAACTGGAAAAAACTGGAAGGAACTGGAAGAACTGGAAGAAACTGGAAGGAACTGGAAGAAACTGGAAGAAACTGGAAGGAACTGGAAGAAACTGGAAGGAACTGGAAGAAACTGGAAGGAACTGGAAGGAACTGGAAAAACTGAAAAAAATTTAAAAAAAAATTAAAAGAAATTGAAAAAACTAGAATAAAGTGTAAAATCTAAAAAAAGTTTTTAAAAATTTTTTATGTGTGGTTTTAAATTATTCTCATTCTGATTCTTATTGATATAAATTATTATTACTATTATTATTATAATTATTATTATTATTGTTGGTGGTGGTGGTGGTAGTGGTGGTGTTATCACGTTATCCAAATGATTGTCTTTAAAATAAAAAAATATTATGAATATTATTTTTCATACATAAAAAGATATTTTAAAAAATTAATTAGAATATAAAATTAGCATAAATATCAAAATGTTAAATAGTTAAGAGTTATTATGGCTATGCTATATTTATTATAAAATAATATATTTGTAATTATATTTTATACATAATGTAATCAAACTTATATTTATTTAAGGATTGACAATTTATTTCCATTGTAACCCTATTTTTTGAATAAAAATATAGAACTGGTATTATTCATATTAAAAAGTTGAAGAAAAAAATAATGAATGTGAATCATAAAAATAGTGAGATGAAAAAATTAAATAATTTATAAACTATAGTTATGAACATAAAAGTTGTAATTAAAAAAATTGTAATAATAATAATAATTATAATAATAATATATATTTTTTTAGAGTTATTTGTCAAAAGGTAGAAAGAATTTGAAGAAAATAAATATAGTTGGAAGAAATTAGAAGAAACTGGAAAAAACTGGAAGAAACTGGAAGGAACTGGAAA